GAGCCCTTATAAATCCGTTTGGTATTTCATCCTGATTACTGCATGGAAATGCTCGTACACCATTCTGTCTAGAACTCAGATTGGAGGGACCACACAGAAGCAGTCATCCATCCCTTCCAGCTAATTGTTTGTGGTGAAGGGAAAACAGCCAGATAGGGTGTCAATTCTTGCAGAATGATAGCCTCAGCTTAGTAATGGCCTTCTACAAGACTCTTGGATTGATGACTGACTGCCTCCAGATGAGGCTCACAGGCAAAGTCCATTGCAGTAGACCTCCACAGAAGAGGACCCAGAAGAGTCCTGGGTCTTAGTTCCAAGTAACAATAAAAAAAATAATAAAGAAGCCAGAAGAATAATGAAAACCTGTTCAGAATGCTACAGAGGACATGTGAAAATGCTTCTTGTACATCAGACAGCTTCAGATAGAACAGCAAGTATATTCAAGAAGGAACAGTATAGAAAGGGAAGTCAGGGAAAGGAAAAGCCAGTAGCTCAGGTAAAAGTGGTGCTCATTTCCTCAAGAAATAAACTGGAAAAGTGTAACAGAGAATTATAATGGTAGGATTGGCCCCAGGATCAAATTCTGGTGAAAAAATGCATTTTAAAAACACTGGAGGGAATACTTTGCGTCAGGAGTTCTACAGTCATCATGGGTTATGTCAGGTTTAAGGTACCAGGAGAAAAGGAGGGATAAATATCTCTGTTTCAGTGTTCTCAGTCTGTCATTATGATCCCAGTGGGAAAAAAATCAACACTACAAACTAAACAAAAATGGGAAATCTATCAGATTATGACTTATGTGTGAATATACAGCAGGAAAGTCAGTATCTTTACAATGACAGAGCAAACTGTCAAGAAACTGTGTTATTTACTAAGACTACTCCATCTTTAACTTCTGATCTGAAGGGCGATAAACTTTTGTGATCAAGCGTAGATAGAAATACCCATATTTTTAAAACAGGGAATTGGTTTTTGAAATCTTATTTGTAAATAGAATAACAAAGAATAACCAAAATTAATAAATACCTCATCAATACATAAAAAGTTCTCTGTACTTTAACATCTTATTCACAAGAGTAGAGTGTTTATGTTCATTAAACCAGAAATTAGATTTTAATTCAGAAATAAGAAATATTTCATAGGACTTGATCAGAGATTTCCATAGCGAGTTATTTACACTGTGCCAGGTAAGAAAGGTAACCTCTTGGCAACAGTTACCCAAGCACCAAGTCTACTGAAATTACTTTCTTTACATCTAAAAATACCATGGCTTCAGATAAACTTCAGATAAAACCTTAAAAGCTCAATGCAAGAAGGACATTTTATTGTTATTATTGATTGTCTGTAAACGAAATAATTCCAAGAAGTACAGAATATTTTTGCTGCTATTAATTTCATTCTTGATCTACATCACTGCTTAGGCTAAAATATTACTTAATAATGTACATGACCATATTCTTGATTTTTCCTTTTTGTTATTTCCTTATTTGCTTATATATGACAAATATTGCTGCTGCCCAGGACAGGATTCTAGCATAACATAGATGTTACTGCAAAGAAGACACCTTATATATATTTTGATGCATCGGATGAAGCAAACATTAAGCATACAGAATTCTAATAACTGTAAGTCAGGGAAGAGACAACTGTACCATGGGTATCAATCTTAAAAGCTGCACTTTTATTTTACTAAATTATCTATGTTAAAAACAAATCTGTGCCTGGTGTGGAATTTCACTGCATCAAGTGTTACAATATTTTTGTTTTTATTACAAGCAGGAGAATGCATGTAGAACAAGTGTTAAGAAACATGACAATAAATTAGAATATAATTTACAAAAGCAAAAATAATAATAAAGTAACAGTGTACCACATTAATACTGAGTATAAAATAATAAGCAACTAATCACAATAATACAAAGGTAATTTCAGTCTGTATTATTAAGGATATCTATGTGACATTCACTCCTTTATAAAGTTCCTAACGAAATGGACTATTTTGGATGTATACACCTTGAAGGATTAATCTTAGATTTTTATTTCTGTTTTGATCTTTATCAGCTGATATAATTGCTCAGCAGAAGTACTGGCACCAGGTTTCTGCATCTTGTATTGTACTATTTGATTCTAGGTCTGTCATATTTATAGCCTGCACAAAGACTCCTTTTGTCACTATTTAGGAATATAACACTATTTAGCTTAGATTATATAGGTGGCTACAGTGTAGCAGCAGCAATGAACTGTGCTGTTGAAACCAGTTATTTTTCTTTGAATTAGGTTTCATATTTCAGTCTTAGTCTGTAGTGTTGCTTAGTTTGCAAATCCTTATACATTCTGTGTTTTGTTCCCTTTAACAATACAATTCAACATTGCTCCAGGCAGTTCTTTAAATTCCAACCTCAGTGCTGTTATATTGCAGAGTAAACATCAGAATCCCCGGTGTTCTAGCACCAGTAAGAGAGCAAAATGTGTCTTTGGAAACATTCCTTACAATTTTCATGTCCTAAGTGAGGTAAAAAAAAAAAAAAAAAGGGCTTCTTTTCAATACAGAGAAAACCCTTTTCTCATTAGCTGAAGTGACACATTAGCTGATAAACAAAATCATGCCCTGGTGAAAACTGGACCTTGATACAAAGAGGCCTCTTACTTAGGGTATGTTGTAACAACCCCTTACCCTTTCATCATACTTCTGATCTAACCAGGGCATGTTAGCACCAAGGTGTTCTGTCAAAAGGATACAGAAAGTCAATTCACTTAACAGACAAGGACTACATACTGCCCTTAATCTCTATGTGCAGCTCCCCAAAACCTGGGATGTTTTTATCGACGACTAGTGTCAGTTTTAACAGGAGTTGTTTACATGGTGATGAGAGCAACAGATAACAAGCATATGTGAATACATGCAAGCCAACTGAAAATTAATTCCACTGGTCACAAGTGCACAGAAGTGGAAATACTGGCAAGAGGTAGCAGATGACAGGAATTTGATGGTCGTGAGTATAGACATGGGGCTACACAAAACCCCTTGACAGATTGTCAATATGTTGGGGGAATTTCATAGTATGAGTCCTCTTAACAGTATCTATTATTCCATGTTAATTCACATTAGTAAGTAGTGTGCAACACATTTGTTTTGTTATTGGTAAAATACATTGGTACACTTCAATCTCATATTGTGAAATTATTTTTCACTGAAAAGGCTACCTTTTTAAAAAAGTGCTATTTGAGTTAGAATTTGTAACACATTATTGTTTACATAATTTTAACTGCCTTACAACAGAGGAGTCATAGTTGGACACAATCACATTCATGAAGTATCTGTTGCAAAATGCAAATGTTCAAGTACAATATATTATTATAAAGAAATACCTACTTTCCTCTTCTCCTTGTTGAGACTGTTAATGAAAAGTGAAGGGGAAGAGGAGCATGACAATTAACTTTTTAATGTTATTTTCCTGATTGTGACTTGCCTAAGAAGTTTGGTTTCACTTTTAAAAATGCAAAGTATTTGGTGAATATTAAAAATAGGGTAATATGAATATGTGGGGCATGGCAGTGAATAGTTAAGGCATCTAGCTTCTAATTTACAGGCATGAGTTTGTTCCAGTCACATGCTGAAAGCTGCCCCTTGCTTAAATATGGTCCAGCTTCACAGAGGTACCTGGCCATTTAGGTGAAGGTGACCAGAATTCACTACAGCCATCCCTTTTCCAGTGTGCCTTACTCCTGATAGTCCAACAGGCCTCTTGTACAAGCACACTTTTGACTTCTCATGTGAACAGAACCTAGATACCTCAATGAGTCACTTATTCTTTGGTTGCAATCCTTGCCACTCAGATGCAGTCTCCCGAATAGAACATTCACATATTCCTTCTTATAAACAATACCTCTGCTGTGATATCAAAGGAGGGAACATCTGGAATCCATTTTAACTTTCAGCTTTGCAAAGGATTGTTGCTATTACAAAGTAGGCATATCTTTTGTATTCAAATTCCTTAGTTTTGGAGAATCAAAGCTAACATGTAAACCAGATCTAGAAGCCAACAAAGTTGTTTCTTCTTTGTGGCTGGTGTTGTAAACAAAAGTGAGCTGGAGTCAAAGTGTAAGTCCTAAACAACCTTTATGGTAGTAGCAAAGGAACTGGCAATCCAGTCTTCACCACTGCTGGGGCCTGCCTCCCCCATGATACTGAAATATGTTCCTTTCAGTGGAGATCTGTTTCACTTGTACAATGGTAAGATGGCTATAAACCTGCAGTGAAGATTTCATTTTGTTTCATAGCACACTTGTATTTCATGCACCGCTGCAATAACTGTTGCACCTCTTAAAACTAAGTCCCTCATGGTTGTTCTATTTAGTATATCTTTATATATGGCTCACAGCAGTGTTCAGGAAATATGGATTACTCCAAAGGGAAATAGGTGGAATGAAGGAAAAATACTTTTTTTTCTAAAAAATTTCTGCTCCTTAAATAACATTCCAAGCTCATTTTATAATTTAAATTGTGGTGCTGTGTCAAGAGATAAAATAGTTAAGATTTTTAAGCTATGATTTAACTTTTTTTTTTTTAATTCTTCTTTACTTCCATAGTAAACCAACTCATAAGAACTACATTTTAAACAGTTTTAAATAGAAATGGATTCAGTGTCATTGCTAAGTCCATAATAAAAGTTATTTTAATGGTCCATGGATGTAAACAGACTATTGGATTTAGTCAAAAGAACATAAATGTTCAACAGTAAGCTATTCTATATGTGTTGTGTGAATCTTTCAAATTTGGGATCCCCTCAATACTGTGTCCAGCACTTTGGATTAATAAATCCCACTTCACAGAAGTTAAAATAATATTGAAATCCTGTCAGCTGGGGCTGACCAGTGGTTATGTTTTCCACAGGGTAATGCATTTGCAAGGACGTCAATCTTATTCACCGTGTGACTCTCTTCGATGGGCACTCTTCCACAATGATAATAACAAGGCACATTCTTCTGCTTCCTGTGGGTCAGTGTCCTTGGCAGGTCTTGCAGCACATCTGTCTGAAGTATGCTCGACTGCAGAACTTGAACTTCAGCACCAGTGGGCAATAGGCCACTTTGTTCACATCTTTGCACTCTAATAATTAAGAACATTAAAGAGAAATATATCAGATATATAAATTAAAGTACAAAGAAAATTTGATGTTTAACATGCTTCTCATCTATCCATCTATCTTGCTTCCTTTATAACTACTCTTTCTAGTACAGTCTACTGCATATAATATTGCAAATTTTAAAGGCCATAAAAATATTTGCAGGGCTTTCATTTAGAAGGGCACAGTCTTTGCCTTGGAAGAACTATCATTTATTGGGATAAGTGATCACTTTACAAAGTTAGAACATGTGAGTCTTTTTTTTACATTACTTTTAACTTCCTTCTCAGGAGTTATTTTATTAATCCATGAGAGGTTATCATTATGATGATTCACATCATTTGATAGCACACCTGTGCATTTGTAAAAATCCTTAAAACAGAATGAACACTTCAGCTAACAGGGATGGAGAATATTACACCAGTGTTACGAATAATGGTATCAACAGGGTGAGTTCAGTGACCGAATGGAATGGTGGATTATACTTTAGGCATGGTTCCACACATCCACAATTTATTTTATCCTAGAAGGAAAGCCATTTTTATGCCTGTAATAGACACAAAAGCTTTTTCTCAAAGTTGTGTTTTCCTATATGCTGGGCTTACTGCCTCAGCTGCCCTGTTGTGCAGGCAGGTAGCCTTCCCAGGAAGGGAGAACAGAGCTCAACCCCATGGAGGAGAGTTTCATTCTTTTGCATCCCACACAGGTTGCATATAAAGTGACTTTGTGAGTACATTACTGGAGCTAAAATATGCTGTAGTTCTCTCCTCTGGCTCATTTTTTGCATTTGTAGAAAGAAGGTGGGAATGGGGAATGGAGTAGTTTGATCTGTGCTCTGCTCTTATCCTGATACAGCTTGAGAAAGAGCTACATCTGAGAATTCAGTGACACACTCAGGTTCTACAGCTCTTCAGTCTCTATATAATCTCCTAGTACGTGATTCTTGCTGTGGGACAGGGTGTTACAGATAGCGGATTAACACTTGCAAGCATACTGTAGTAGCAAATTGAGTGCAGATGAGAACTTTTAGTACTTGAACCTAGGAAAGCATTAATGAGACTGAACTTCCAGGTCTGCACTGACCAGTATTTCTGATAATGACAAAATGCATGCTTTTAGCTAAGCAAGAAGTGGTTAGAAAATCATTTAAACTTTCATTTCATTAATACAGACATAGTGCTTTCATTGCAATTCTTTCACTCCTCCTACATGATGTTTGACATACTGCTTTTCTAATCTTTTAATTCTTAATGGAAACATAATTGAGTGACAGGAAAAAAAGACATTGTGAGTAGCTGGTTGAAACACATATATTTCTCTACCTAGCAACCACATATGGTCACTGTATTTGACTGACTTTCAAAAACTCTTCACAAAAGAGGTCAAGTCTCTTTCAGAAATATTTCAGGTACTCATGTTCGTGAAGACTGGGAATATAAGAGAGACAAATGGTGACTTATAAATGAAGTGAAAAATAAAAAGGTTCACTTGATCTGCACAAGACATAAAAAGTTCACTCAATTGCAAAAATAACCCTCAAACACACTGTGTTTAGTTAAATACAAGTAAAGCCACGAACTCAATTTTCGCTAAAAGTAGGAATTCAAATGATTTTTTATGTTATTCTTCCTCTTGAGTAAAACTGGACCCTATTCAGCTGATGCCATTTGGACAGCAATGAGAGAATATTCTTGAAGTTCCCCAAAACTTCAGTTTTAAAAACCAGTTTTGAATTAGATAATGGTGGCTGGTGAAACAGCCTATTCTTCACAGGACTGTGGTTGAATGGAGAAGGTTTAGCAGAGTTCCTTTTGTTTCTAGTGACAAGTGTTAATGATTATCAGTAAACTACACGCACAAGCTCTGCCTTGATGAAGTTTTTTACTAGATCAGGTGACATTATGATATTAATTATCATTTTACATTAAAAAAATCACAAAATGTCACAGTGCCTCCAGCTAAAGAAATTGCAAAGATGTATCATATACAATACAAGAAAAGCCGAAATGAAATAACAATAGACAAAACAGTTTTTCAGGTAAACTTTTAGATGGGCTTTAGCAGTCAAGATTCAGCAGACATATATGTATTTAAGAGAATAAAATAATTCTGAATAGGTTTCAAGTGGTGTGGTAGATGATGCCTGTAGTTCACTTCCAGCAGAAAATGCAACATTACCCTCACCAGTAGCAGCCCATCAAAACAATATCTAAAATATTATAAATCACCAATGAAAAGTTTGAAAAGCCTAGAGCTAAAGCACATGTAAAACAACAAGATTCAATGTAACTTTCTTTTAGTATTTTTGTATTCCCAAAATTTTGACTCTTGTTTTATGCAAGCAACCCGTACTTTCCCAAAGAAAAATTTTCCAAGCTTCACCAACATGATCATTACACTATGGAGAGCCTCAAGCTTCCTCAAAACCCTGTATGATTTTATTTCTGGGTAGAAAAATTAAATTGCTAAGAAATTGTTGAACAAGCTCCACAGTTTGCAAGCACAAAGGGAATCAGGTTTGCTGGGGTTTGAAACAGGAAGAGAGCTCCCCAGATAATCTGACCCTGCTGCGAACCATCGTGCTGCTGCTGAAGTTGTTTTTGCCCCACAATGGAGCCCAAAGCACGAGGCAGTGCTAAGAGGTGGCACATGGACAAAGTCCCAGTGTGTGGGCAGGTATGCTCTGCTACACACATGCACTCCGAAGTGGACAAACTCTCTCTCTGGGAGACCTGATTCCTTCCTTGAAATCCAAATACTGATAGTCAGATCACATCCCACTGCACCTGCAGAGTGACAGAAGCAAACACAGAGGCACAGCATGCCCCACTCACAAGTATATTCATGACAAAATATCATGGTTCCAAAATTTATCCCAGAAAGTACTACTTTTCCAAAAATAGTTGTGCTCTTCAGGATTAGTTAGCTCTTGAAATCTTTTAATCATCTCCAGGATGGTGAAAAAGATATGCCTCACTGTTCAAAGGCTGACATTTTACTGAACTAAGAGATGTCAGCTCCTCTTGTGTCTAAGGGGACTTTTTTAAAGCAGGAAATGTGTCAGACATGCACATTATTCTGAAAATCCCATTTGTGCTTCTCCTATTCACTATTTAAGAGCAGCTGTAAAAAACTGATAAATTAGAATATATATATAATAAATACTTGCACAAGTATTGAAAAAAATACCTTGAAGATAGAATTTTTGCTTAATTTTTGGACAGGGCAACCTTAGTTTTTCACAGATTGCAGGAAAATTCTTCTGAAATGATCTAAGCATTTTAAACTATTAAATTAATTTTGAGATAAATACCTCTAGTATGGGACATAAACAAAAATGGGATGCTAAGTGGCAATGTGTGGGGAACAATATCCTTGAGAAGATATTGTGCTATATCTTTTTCCCTTTGATTCTTCCTAACTGTGCTAAGGAACCTGGACAGCTGTCAGTAAGGAGCTGGCTTGCACCTGGCTCTCAAGAGTGCAGGCCAAAGAACTGACAACCATACAGAATAAGTGGTTTTCAGCATTTTCTATTTGTGGATCCCAAAAAATTTTCCAGTGAAGGTGTGGGTCCCTAAAAACAATTACCAACACACTCACTGTACATAGCTAGCCTGCACAGTTCTACTGTAATGAAGTTCAGGCTACCCAGTGTACAGAGATCACACACAGAAAACCCCCAGTTGCATTCTTCTATAAGAGATTAGCATATTTTCTGATAATACTGAAGAACTACCAGTGTAATCACTAGAAATAACAATATGACTTTGTAATCTAAAAATTAAGAGGAGACTGGGACTGAATTGTGTCCACTTATAAGTAATTTATTATCTCCCTTACTTTGGACTGAAATCAACATCTGTGTTTGGAAATAAAATAACATGTAGCCTGTGAGATCTAAAAGGCAGAAAATTTCCTAGATTGATAATTATCACTTAAAGATTTCTTGAGAGCACTAAATAGAAATAATGCAAACTTTACCAAAAATAGTGAATTACAGTGTTCATACATTGAAGCTTAAGTGTATTTCTGGGACAATTTTAGTATGCTCCCATTTCATCACAGACATCTCTATTTGCCAGATTTATAACAATTTTGAATCTATGGCTTGGACATTGATGGATAGAGTAGGCATTGAATGACCACCAAATCTGGGTAGACTACAGGACAAACGCCTTTAAAAACATTCAAAGCGGAGCATTTTTCCACATAAACAGGACATTAAATCCCACTGTAGTAGGAGATTCTGTGTAAAAAATACTCAGTTATATACTGCAGAGATGAGTAATGTCAAAAGCAGCAGTGCTAGCAACATTGCCGTCATGTACTCAAAATTTAGGAAATATAAAAATTTTGGGAATAAGTGTTTTAGAATGACTGCTTTTGCTGTGTAACCTCTTGATAGTTTGGAAAATTTTCTATTCCTTTTCCCCTTCCACACAAAATGAATTGTACTTATCTTATGAGCAACTATTCTCAATTTTATAATCAATGAGAAAACACATTCTTTACTGCCTAGAACTCCAAGTCTACTTTGGCATCTGCATTTCCTAACAGCTTGGCCTAGACCATTTACACGTTTAGATCTGAAGTATTTAATAAATACGAATAAGCTTATTTTCACAATATTATCTCATATATCTGCTACCAAAAATACATTCTGGTGAAGTTAGATAATAGTCTGATTAAACTGGACTGTATAATGCAAATAATACCATAATTATTTTGAACAGGCATTATAAATAAAAAAAATTACAACTTTGTTAGAAGAAGCTGAAACGATGACAAAGTGTAAGAACAGACTTGTTCTTACAAGAAACATGTAGCACGAAATCTATGGTCCCAGTCTTGCAATGAACAGGGAATTTACTATTTTTTGCCACTACATTGTTGTGTTTAACACTGATTAGGCAGGTAGAAGGTTGGTGGATGAAAAGTGTATCATTTTTCCCCTGCTATTATGAACATTTCCACTGAACCAATAAAGAGATTAGAAAATCAATGACACAAACAGTAGTATTTTGTCTATGACTTAGGCTATATATTTTAAGGGTATTTTTTTTTAACAAACAACGTGTATTTATGTTTTCATTGACTTTACCATTGAGCTACAATGACTAAGAAGAAAATAATTTTTAAAAAATCATTCACAGCCTGAGAGATGATGTCATCTAGACATTTACCAATGCAGCAATGCTGCCTATGTCACTTTACTCTTTTCAGAATAAATTCTATTAAGATGGCAGACTTACCCTCTGTGTTGGAAATGGGAGTACTGTCACATTTACTTTCACACTGCTGCATTGATGGAGGTCTGAGAGTTTCTGGACACTCACTGGATGCTTGTCCAGTATATGACAGGCACTGTACTGTTCTCATCTGTTGCCCAAGACCACACTGTGCAGAACACTAAAGAAGGAGAAAAAAAATTTAAAACCCTGCATCCAAATTTTATATATAAAATAAAGCAACAGCAAGCAATCAGAAACACTTCACATCGACAAATTTTAAAGAAGACAGGCATCTGAAGATCTTTGGTTAATAGATAAAAGAATTATCATAAAATATTACAGAATTTTTTACAATACATGTGAGTACTTGTCTTTCAAAGAAAATGCAATGCAATATTGACTCCCTGAAAATTCAGATTTGAGATATTAGAATATAATTTACTCTACTCCATGTATCATAACGATATTTTAGAATAAAGAAGAAAAAAATAAAGAAAACAAGAATCCAAATCTTCTACAGAACTTTAAGGGAAAAGTAAATGTCTTTCAAAGAAATAGACTTTTCTGTTTCAAAATATTTTTAATTTCTGTAACTAAAACTAAATAGTTACAATTTTAGTACAATATTAGTTAAATATAAAAGTGAATCTGAAGAATCACCATGAAAAAAAGCCGACTAGACTGTAATATTGCAAATTATTTTCTACTGGGTAATTAAACTAAAATGTTTCATTTTCATTAGAGGAAAATTGCTCTGCAAACAGAAAATTATTCTTTCATTTAATATTCTAAAAGCAGGCCATTGATCACAAATGAGATGCAAAAACATGAAAAAAGAAGGAAACTTAGTAAATCATATTTTGAAGCACTGCATAATGGTGGCATTATTCAGCCTGTCCTGGAGTAATTTAGCTCCATATATGGTAACTCAATATCTTACGTAAAAAATTACATTCATCTCAAAGTGTGGTTTTATTCAGAGATAGATATATACACAGAACTGCTACTACAATAGGAATTGGCTTTATATTTCCATCATGTTTCTCAAGGAAGTTAAGCATGTTTCAAAAATGGTACACCCTGCAACACTGTTGTATCTCCAGAATACTCTAAAAAAGTAAGGATTTTTTTTCTTCAAAGTGCGCGTAGAAACTCATCCAGTAGAAACTAGATTGCTCTCAGACAAGCATCATGAAGAATCACGTTTCAATCTGACACAAAAGGGGAGAATCTTTTTGTTTCCCTCAACCATAGGAACCATCTCTTATCTATCTCCAGGGACATCTTAGGCTATGAGGTGGGAAGCTAACATCTTAGGCTCGTGTGGGGGACTAACAGCAAGGAAGACTTGCATGAGCTGTCTCACCTGTCCCCAGTCTCCAGCAACCCAGCGAGGAGGAGGACATCGGCCTAAACTGCAGCGGATGCGCACTGGCGGCTTGTTCTCATCTTGGCATTGCGCAGCTGGAAAGGTTTTTAGAAGATCACTGCTTTTGCACAGGACAATTCGGTGTTTGAATCCTGGGCCACACTTTGGTGTGCACTGAAAAAAAATATTTTTGCAAATAGATAATTAAAATCTCAGTAAAACACCAATGAAACTCTTAAAAATGCTATTTGTAAAGTAGGACATGATGATTTTTCATCTCACAATTCAGCTATAATCACAATAAAGTAACAATAATTTTTAAATGTTTAGAAACACAAACAAACTGAGAAGATTGTTTCATTATGTACAAGCTTTTCTAAGTTTTAAATTTCCTTTGCTGTTTATATTTAGATTACAATGTTACTATTTATGTCAGGCTTAAGAAAAACACTGTAAAGTAGAAAGGTCTGCCACATGTAACACTATTATGAAACCAATTTGAGTGTTTCAATAATTAAAAATGAGATAGTCTGTTCTTAATATCACCTTAGTACAGTCTTCATCCACTTCACTTTATCCACACACAATGAATACATTTTTCATCAATATACAAAAGGAAAGATAAATGCTGGATTTGACTTCATAGAAACCACATCATTCAGATATACCAAAATATGATACCCTCTACTACAGCATATGCATTCCTCTCCTTTCTTATTTAAATTTTAACTCTTATTTCACAATTTCCCCTCCTTTTATCATTCTTGTGTTATTCCGACAGCACGCGGACAATAAAACAGCCACTTGAAAAAGACCTGATGATTACTGGTTTTCATCATCTTCCTTCACCATGGTGCCACTGCCATTCTCTCTCCCTTTTGCTACTGACCATTAACTGTCATACACAGGAGCTCAACTGCGTAATGAGGAAGAGACGAGTGCTAACAAAATTAAAACTCAAGAACTTTCCCAAATCAGTCCCTTTTTAATATGAGATATTGTAAGCATGGTTTTAAAATCCTTTATTGGCATGTTAACCTTTATCCCATAAGCATATCTGCAGTATTTGGATCAGAATCAGTTTTTGACAGCATAAGCTTTACATGCAGGTTATGGTAACCTGTTAAAGACTGGAACTGCCTTTACTATGTAGAGACAAAACATTATTTGGGAAACAACATTATGTGGAACTGGAGCAATAAGCAAGAGATCACACACCAAAGGCTTTCCACACATCCAAAACAACTCACTATATCACTGGGGAAAAAAGAAACAGTCCTCAGATTAATTTTTTTAAAAGTTACTTGAGTGAGGCAAACTTAATAGTTTTATGCCTAATCCTGAAGCATCTTTGAGTAATTTGTAGAAATTTTAAAACAGTTCCACAGTATTATGTAAGGATATACCCTATGAATATGTAAAATTTTATATGTCTATCTACATATACCTCAAAACAAGAAGAAAATCTCCAGAGGGAGGCACCTAAACTAGTTCATAGAGAATGAAAAGGTTTATTCCAAATGTTATCTCCACTTGGATTTAGGATCTTAAACTGGGCTGCATAAAGATGGGTCTTGCATTTGAAGTTTATAATCCAGAATGCAAAATGGATATATAATCACTTTCCTTAAAATGTAACCTTTTCTACCCTATTCAATCTTTTTCTACCGAGGTACAGCCTCTATCTACTGTAGTTCAGTATTCGGAACTTTGATATGGAATAAACAGTTTCAAAGGTCCTTACACTTCAACACCAAATTTTGTGTACACTGCCTACTAAAATGCTAGATGAAGGAGGGAGGTTAGAGAAGATTTCTGGTAGAGCTACACAAATACCACTAATGATAAAGAGACACCAAAACCCAATGACAACACAAGAGGTCTTTGAAGTCATGATCATGACTGATCAGTTGGGGTACAAATTCCAAGGAGTGTTATGAGTACATTCTCCCACATGTGCAAAACACATGACCTTTTAAGGAGGATGTGGAAGTATGTGCTCCTTCCCAGCTAAGTGCTTAAAAATCACCTCAGTCTATCAAAACAAACAGAAAAGTGACAATGTTAAAGGACTGTGTCAAAATGTCAAAATGCAATGGGCCTGTGAGATTTCATCATCTACAGAGGATGTTAGCAAACAAGCAACAAAGACTAAACTTTGAGTTTAGGAGCATCTTCCCTAGTATTAATTGAAGACACAATCTTGAATCTATATGAAAGATGCCATCTGAGAAAGATGTTCTTCCAGCTACTGGTACCAGAAGAAAACAACACTCTCTTTTGTGGAGTTATAGCAAAAATTCTACCAAGATGGACTACACTGGATCCCAGAAATGGAAGTGAAAGAAGGAAATAAGTAGCCTTCAATAATACTGAATCACTAAAAATAATAAATCCCAGTAAAAATTTAACAAAAAGACTGTACGCTTCCAACGAAAATGAAAAGAAAGTATCCAGATAAGCTAAATGAGGAAAAATTATCTTCCATTACTAAATACTTCTAGAATTTCTGACTGCCTTTGTGGAAGTCAGGAAGGCAAGTTATATGTGCTTGTCTGATAAGGCTCTTCCCAAAAAATCCTTAGAATATAGTTTCTGCTTTTTTTATAATTATCCTGAAAACTATAAAAGGAGTCATTTAGAGAGAATAGATTAATTCTGTCAAAGCTCAACTATCACAATGTGTGAAAAGCCTTATGACACTAGCTAAGAATTACTACATTCCAGTGGGAAAGACATCCTTACTTTTCACTTTAATTTGATAAAACCATGCTTACATTCTCCTAAGGACTTCATACTAACCAGTATGTTTACAAAATGTTTTTGTTTCTCTGAACAAAAGGCTAATGTCTTGTTAATAATCACTAAAAATTTTAAAAACATGTAATTATATTGTCAACAAGTCCATAAGCAAATAAAGCAGTTCTATAATTGTTTTATTTGTAATATGCGTTGTTTTGAGTATGAAAAGAAAACCTCATATCTTGCATGCCAGAGAAAATTAGCAAGGTTTGCCATTGCTTTAAATGGGAGGAGTATTCAACTCCTCATTTTTTAAGTTCACTCTTGTTCTCCTTTACATGTTTCTGTCAGAAATTCATATAAACACACATATAAAAATGTTTATATTTATAGTACTATAAGGATTTTACTATATGATATTTCTGGAAACCAAAAAAAAAAAAAAAAAAAAAGGTAACTTTTCTCATTATATTAAAATGGTATCATCAGTCAAGACAGTCTGCCAAGCTACACAACTAAAATTCATACCAGAAAGAAGCCTGGTACTTTTTCACAATCCTGATTAATTATCACAACCAGAAGTTTAGCAGAGTCTGAATCTTTAAATTAGAATGATTTTGTTCAAAATCATTCCATGATCTTGCTACATAAAAGCCTAGACAGGATAACAGAGTAAAAAACTACTTTAGGTAACCAGTATGTGATACCTGTGGGAGAGAAGAAGCTAATTTAGGGTATAGTGACACTGCAGGTGACGGGCATTTTCATAAGAGGCAGGAAACAAAACAATGAGGCACCGGTCCCCTGGGAAATGTTCCTATTAACCCTTTACTTAGCAAGCCCTGACAGAAAACATTCAGTGTACTGTACTAACATTCAGTGGTCAGAGGTCCTGCCTCCGCTGTTACCAATGAGCTGACACAGTGAAATCTCCTCACCTCTGACCAGTCCAGAGCAACCCACTGCGGGGGGCAGGACTGGTTGTTGCAGGGCTCTTTTTCAACAGGCCGGTGTGTTAAACAGTTGGCAGCGTCCAGCGTCTCCTCCTCAGAAGGCCCAATCTTTCTGATGCAGAGAACTGTTCGTGAACGCATTCCTCCATCACAGGTCTTACTGCACTCTGACCAATCTCCTATAAACCATCTGGATAGAAAATGTTAGGAGGCTCAGTTAAATACATTTCAGAAACAGAGTTGATAACTACACAAACCAAGAATGCAAATAGTTTAAATCACTAAACTGAAGTAATTTTTAACAATACACACATTCATGGTGAAATAAAGTAGAAATTAATGGGTCTTTTTACTAAATATTTTAATTTATGCCTCACTGCAATCATATCTTCCAAAAATAACACTGCTTCGTATTTTTCGAGAGCAGCAATTTCCATCATAGCCTGTAATAGTTAGAAAGGAGTGTTTGAGCCTGACAAAACTGAAGCTGTTTATGTAGGTTTGTACTGGACTTGCCTGAAATAATTTCTGTGAAAGTGGTTTGCAACTGGAAATGTTTGGGAATCATTGCTGAGAGTTACATCACAAGTTAAAAGTCAAGATGTTTACCTATTTAGTATCATTACAATAAAATAATTTGATCTCAAAATTGGGCTTTTTGAGAGTTAATTCTCATCTGATTACAAGACATTTGTAAACTCTTTAATAAAAGGCTACACTGAAATGTAAAATATTCTCATTTTTTAAACTAAAGCAAACACTAGTTAGACATGAATTCATCTCATGAAAAAATTCATCTCAACAAGCTCCTTTATAATTTAAAGAATTGCACTATAGGTGGTAGAGGGAACTTCTTAGTGTTTCTGCATACGTAGTAGAAATCAAGAATTGTAAATAATATTAGATTGCTTTGTGCTGCTGCAGAGATTAAAGCGGCTATTAATCTGGCTGCGATGTTATGTATTTCTACTTATGAATGGCTAATGCAGCTCAATTAAATAGAAATATCTCTCCATATTGATGAGCACATTTGGTCTTTGGTATTTGATATGTTGATTAGTTACTCGCCTGAGTCACCCTTGCAAAGGATGAAGCTGAAATCTAGTATGCTATCACATGCTGCCAAAATGTCAAAAATGCCAGGCATGTCAGTCATTGTGGATATTCCTGGAGCTACCTCATAAGAAATCTTTTCTCAAGCTGCTGTCAAAAAAAAAGTGCTGCTATCCTCTTCTGTGTTACATTATGTGTAATATATCCTAACATGAAACTAGATTGATGCAGAGATGGAAACAATTATGTGATATTCTGTCATTACTTTGCCAGCAAAAGGAGTTAATTTGCCACCAAAAAAAATCTCATGCTTTTACCACAATAGGGAGAATCTGAAGCTCTTCAGAACTTTCAAGAGGCTGCAGAGTTAATTTTTAATTGATATTATAATTTACTCAAGTAACTTTGCTCTCAGGTACCTTTAATATTTATACTGTATGAGAAGACAGCACTACTGATAATTCATAGAAATATAAGAGCATTTTCTTGAAATCTGAAACGTAAGAGTTACTTATTGTAATAACAAACAAAGTACTGAAAACAAACATAGTCTTCTGCTGTTCAAAGACATCAAGTATAATGTAACTGGCATTCATTTAGAAAGGGTATAATTTTCATTGGTTTTGGTATGCACCAAGAGTAGAATTGTGCTAATTAAAAAGGGAAATTTTTGGCCAGTCCATGTAAACACAAAGTTTTACTGCATGATAAAACTTTCTGTCAAAACAGTATAACTTCTTTGGATAACTATCTGTTATTTGAACAGCCTCCTCCTAGACCACTTACAGAACCAGGAATTTAGAACCTTTCCTTAGTTTGACACTTAGTATTCACTCTGGGGGGAACATTAGAATAGAGGCAGACATGGGTTGAATTGCTCTGATATGTTGAAGTAGATGCTAGTTAATACACTCTACCCATTTTCTGAATATTGATGTCTTGACTTTTGTCATGCTAATCACCTGTTGTACTGGATGGGGAGTCCAAAAGCTTCCCACTTTGTGGGCTGGGTTTTCTTAGTTTGTGGGGTATTTTTAAGTAGTGTCAGTGAAAAAAAAAAAAAAAACACCCAAAAAAATCCCAACAAAACACCAAACAAAACAATGCAGCAAAAAGACGCCCAAAGTTACACTAGTATGGAATAACATTGTTAACATTACTTTTTAAAATGCTAATTTGCAATAGTTAAGCCACACGAAGGGATTGGAATGTGTTTGGTAAAAAGGAGCTGATGAAACATGACTGCTTTTCAAGTCCTGCTCTCAGGTGCACATATTTGGTGCACTCAGAGCCATGCCAAACAGTGTTGTCTAAACAAAGGACAAAGGCATACCCCTCCAGGATAACCATATATTTACACACAGACTGTGGGGACAATTATTTCAACCTAATTTAGACCTGTCTGACACAGCTAGTTCACACTCAAAGGTAACAGCGGTGCAGTGGCTTCATTTGGCTTTATGCCAAATGTGTGTTATGGGACACAGGAGCATGAAGAGTAAAGGACACTGCTCTGCCATCCTGCAACCAGGCACCAGGCCAGGGAAGCAGCTAATACTCTGGGAAGAGACTGACTTCAGTTGGAAACTCATTGACCTGCTGCAATTTAATGCACAATCATCTTCTTTTATTCTTCACAGTGTCCTTCATGCTACAATTTAGCAGTTTCTAAGAGGCATTTACAGGCGACCACAGTATTGTGCAGTATCTGTATTTAATTAGCATTAATGTTTTTCATATCCATTTGGAATGCAGTTACAGGTTATCACCAAAGTCAAACTAACCAGAGCTTGGGAATCAATAAACTGTTGTATCTGTTCTACCCTTTCCAGAAGTTTTATTTATCTTAAAGCATAAGGAAAGCTGTTGTCACATGTTGATACTATTTTCTAGTACAAAATATCACAACTGTTTCTAAACAGGTTCTTGTATTAAGATTAAGCTATGCTTTGTGTCCTTGCCAAACTTCATTTTTGATTAAATGAGCTGCTGGGTTATCAATATTATTAATATTAACATGATCATATAAATTATCAATACATAGCATACAACTATCTTTAAAAATAAATCTAAACAGAATCTAAGCACCTAATCCTAAAGGCACACAGCATTACTCATCAACACTGAATATGCTAGAGAAAAAGTTTGACAAAACTATTGCCAGGAAATGGTTTGGTCCTCTTAGAGGTTTCTGTATTTGCCACTTCTCATGTGAACACTTCAACACAAATGTTAATATAACATACTTTAAAATATGGCAAATGTTTCAGATGCAATATTAATAACTAGGGTAAAGTTAAGTCTCACCTCAACATTTTTTTATCATTGTTGCCTTAAGAATGGTCCCCAGTTCTACTCTGTGCACTACTCACTGCATATGACACTTATATCCTAAGAAAGTCTTTTGCTAGATTCTATTTACTTACAGTGTTTGGTGTAGTTCAAACATCAGTATTGCTCCACAGTCAAGCAGAGATCCTCTATGCATTTTTGGGAGCTCATTTTAGAGGAACAAGAAACTAAAAACCAAACCCAAATACCCTTTCTGATAAGGCAGGACATGAATACTAGATGAGACTCTTGGTTAACAGGTACCTTGGTTAACAGGATTTATTACAGATTATGAAGACTTATCTTTCTATGCAAAACCAATGTCCATCTTAAGTGATTAATGACTTACTCAGGTGGGCAAGGCTCAGTGTTGCAGGCTCTTTGGTTTTCTGGAGGCTTACTGTCAGGGTCACAGTAATTGTTTTGTACAATGGAGCTGTCATCCAGCCTTTTACACACCACCTCTTGTTTCTGGACACCTTGGGATGAAATGAAAGATCATTCATTAATCATTCTTGCTCTTCTAATTTTTGAGTATAATTGTATTTCACCTATTTATTATTTGTTCTACCATCCCACTTCATTTGGCCAAAGTCTACAGCAGTGAGAGTTTAAATTGACTGAATGTCCCCTAGCCACAATAATTTTTTAATTTTCCTTCAATTTTAGGCTATCCCACTCAGAGAGGAATTTAAGATTCTGTTGTTTTCTAAATATATATATATATATATATATATATATTTACTATAGAAGTTTGTTTTTATTTGTATATTGCACAAAATTTATTTGTATATTACATTCTCTGTCTGCCATCCTCTCCTAGAAAAGACATTTAAATTTCCAAAGAAAACATCACCAAATAGAATGTGGTCACACTTCAATGCAGAATTAATGTTTATGTGCTCTGATTTAAAGAAAACTAGCAATACTGGGAAACAGTGTTGCGTTTTCATATATTATCCTACAACTTTTATTATTTCATTATATTTTTATTATTTTTTAGATAAAATAATAGAACTATAATTCTTTCTGAAAGAGGGAGTTTGTCTCCACACTCATTTTGCCTGGCACTTCCAGCTCCTCTTTCATTGTTAACCATCAACAGAGTAATTTGGAATTGATCATTACTGGCAAAACATGGAATATCACTACCAAGGCAGCATTATAAGGTAGTTTATTAAGTATATTTTCTGAAGATTTTTTTTTTAAAGCACTAAAGAACCACTGATATGATGACAGCATATTGTTGCAATACACACTGCCTTCCTTCTCTCTTAAAAACATGCTGTAAGATGGTTATTAGAATTTTTAAAGCGTGTATTTGCAATTCATGTGCAATTTTTATCGAACATGCATAGTTATAAAACTAGAATAATGACATTGTTTGTACTTAAAAGCTTCAAAAAGTCCTGTACCTTTCTTCAAAAGAGAAGCAATTATTTAACTTATTCCAAAATATGAAATGCATATAATTAAATGGAGATTAAAACCTCGTGGCTTCAAATATCCTTACAGCCATCTCTTCATTTTAAGACATGCATAGAATCATAGAATGATTTGGTTGCAAGGGACCTTAAGGATCATAGAGTTGAAAAACCCAGGCTGTGGGCAGAGACCCTTCCACTTGACCAGGCTGCTCAAAGACCCATCCAGCCTGGCCTTGAACACTACTAGGACTGGGGCATCCACTTCACTGGAGAACTTGTTCTGTGCCTCACCAACCACACAGTAAGGAATTCTTTCCTAATATCTAATCTAAGCCTGCTGGCTTTCCATTTGAAGCCATTCCCACTTGTCCTGTCACTAAATGCTCTTTAAAAAAGTTCCTCTCCCTCTTTTTTGCAGGCTCTCTTTGGATCCCCGATGCCTGCAATTAGGTCACACCTAAGCTGTCTCTTTTTCAGGCTGAACAAACCCGATTCTCTCAGCCTTCCCTTGTAGGAGGAAATAATATCCTCCTTTGGCTCTTGAAAAATAAGTGAAAGATCTAAATATATGAGAAGCTGTGACAAGATTCACCTTGAATACTATAATCAACACAAAAACTGCCAACAGAAGACAATAATTTAAAACAGGCCTGACAACTGAAGTAGGAATATTTCTAGCAATTTTCACCTCACATCTCACCACAATAAGAAATTGTATTTAACAGCCCTAGAAAAACAGCAATGCCAGTAATGTGGCACTGCTAGCTGATATACAATTCATGTTGAGTTCTGACTAATCATTTATCCTTTCTATCACAAACTCCCTTAGTTCTCTTGGTTGAATAGGCTGAATGTGGACTTCATAATGATATTTTCCTCAAATATATTTAGTTCAAAATAATTTACACACACTTTAGAATTCATCATTGTAATAATGCATACCATTCTCACAAATGTACTTATCGGATAGCATTGATATTAATGTTATATTTTTGCTGCATTTCTTACTGGCATTTCTTACTCAGATACATTTCCTTCTCTAATTTGGCTAAAAATTGGCACTCCTAACAAATTCATTTTTGAGGAATTTTGTAATAAGAAAATGTTCTAAACTTCTATGATTGCAAAGTATCACTCAGCTTTAAAAAAATTTGCAAGTGTGTTATTAACTGAATGCTGTTCAGGTAGCATATCACCTGTAAGACAGTACTCACCCTATTCACTTACAGTGAAGAATCTGTAATTGATGCAAGGAGGTACATTAATCCATTTTTTAAAAGTTCTGCACCATCTTGTCACACAGTATATAAAATTTACATAATTGCTGTCTAATTTTAATATTATTTATTTAAAACCTCAGATAAAAAAAACAGATAATAACTTTTAAGACAAGAAAAATAAGGGAAAAAGCTAGAAGTGCTGTTTTTATCCAGACAATAGATACAACTTGGTTATGCCCCATATTGACAAATTATTTTTAAATTATTAACTCTACCCTGATTATATGGTCTTTTTTAAAAGTAATCTAAAAAGCACAAATAAACATGTTCATTTAAATACTGGGGGGAATAATTATGAGCAGTTAGACGCATTTTGCTTTCAAATCTACAGATTTTTAGTTTATAATAAAAGACATAAAATGTCCTCACGACTGGTCAATGCAATCCTAAGAGAAAACAAAACTCCATGGTTTAATGACCATAATCTCCTGAGAACTGAAATGCTTTTCAGATTTCAATTCACAAATAGTCTGCATGACTTTCAGCAGCCAAATTTTAAATTACATGGAGCACATTTTATTCTTGAATTAAAATTGCAGGCATGTAAATGCTGTATCTATTTTTAAAAGCAATCCCAAAAATTGTGGCTTGTGATTGCAACAGTTAATTATAAAGAAGCCAGTACCAATACATAGTGAAGCTTGCATCTCTAAAACTAGTGCATGCTGGTTAACCCAGACATACTTTCTGAGCTCACTCATCAGATCACAAGATACTCATCTCAGAGCCAAACTTATATTTTCTTTGATGAGGAAAAGTATGTTTTATTTGCCTAAAGATAGTTTCATAATTCGTCTGAGAGCATGAAAGAAAAACATAGTAGGCATCACTCTAGATGAGTTTTGAGCAACAAAGAAAACTGAACAGCAATCAATTTACTTATGATAGTAATAGTATGCTGACTATTTTATAAAAAAATCCATTAATATCTGAGATATTTAATCCATCTGGAGATGAACTCTAATAGATTGAATGAAATCCTAACCAATTCTTAGGACTACTGGCAAATTCCAGATAACAAATGGTGTCATTCGTTGCCATAATTAAACATTAAAGAAATTTAAAAGGCAGTAGGTAGTTATTCGAGTTATTTTTAAATGCATAAAATAAAAAAAAATAAAGACTTAGTTCTTTTGCTAGCTTTTTTGAAACAATACCACCAGAAGAAGTTCATTGCCTTATTAAGAATACGTGTGGATCTGAACAGAGTAATACACTTTTTCTTGGGAAGTAACAAGATATAAGGAAGGACATGTCTGGGCGTTAATAAACTATAATTATGTGATCTACAATTGATATAACTGCCCTTTCCTTTCACTTTATAGAATTTTCATTGTATTGTTTCAGTTCCTATTTCTACATATTTTATTTTTTATTTTCTCTGTGTTTCTCATTAAATAATATTCAGGTCCTTAAAGAAAATCTTCTGGTTTTGCCATTATTTTTTTTTTACTTCCCTGTATTCTCTACTTTCCCACTCCTCTCTCTATAGATAACTTAGCACTGTACATTGCAGTATGCTCTGGCATTGCTTTCATATTGTCTTGTCCAAGTGTGCCACTGGCTATAAAGACCTACCTATATGAGATAATAACAAACTTTTCTTCTGAAAACCTTTACCTCAGAATAGAAGAATTTTTACTGTACTTTAAGGAAAAAAGGGAATTAATATGAAGGATATATGTAGATCAGCTTTACATTTTAATGTAATATATTTATATTTATATCCATATCCATATTTATATCCATACTTATATCCATATTTATGTTTATTTATAATGTATTTTTTTCCCAGAAAAAAAAAAACTAGCTGAGACACTATAAATTTATATTGTAAAGGAAAAATTTTCAATACAGAAAATATAGGTTCTAGTGTACAAAAAGAAGAGCTGCAGTTCTGGATCCCCACACCTAAGAAAAATACTGATATTAAAAAACCGTGAAATTATATTCTCGTCCTAGATATGAGCATAGGAATCCTACATAAATAACACTTGTCTGTCATCAAACATGCCTTTTTAACTATCTGGTATATCTGAAGATCCTCTTTTAAGGAAAAAAATGAAAATATCAAAATATATCTCAGACTTCGGAGATTTGGTTCCTTCTTGATTCCATGTATAGTGAGCATCAAGGTCAGTGGCAGAAAAACTATGTGTACCTTCTCCTTTAACATAAGTGATGCTACAAAATACACAGTTTACCATCTCTCATAGAATGGGTCAGGTTGGAAGGGACCACAGTGGGTCATTAGGCTCAAATTCCCTGCTCAAGCAGGGTCATCCTGGAGCAGATAGCACAGGATTGTGTCCAAACACTTCTTGAATATCTGCAATGAGGGAGAATCTACAACCTCTCTGGGCAACCTGTTCCAGTGCACGGTCACCTGCACAGTAAAGAACTTCTTCCTCACGTCCCGCTGGAACTTCCTGGGCATCAGTTTATGCCTCTTGTTCCACTGCTTCTTGTTCCATTGATTGGTGTCACTGAGAAGGGCCTAGATCCATCCTTTTGTCAGCGTCTTCCAGCAGCTCCGTGCCTCTGTTGTCCTGAGGAGCCCAGAACTGCACACAGCACTCCAGGTGAGGCCTCACCAGGGCTGAGCAGAGGGGCAGGATCGCCTCCCTCCCTCCACTGCCCTGCTGGCAGTGCTCTTCCCAATGTCCCCAGGATGCCATTGGCCTTCTTGGCTACCAGGACATGCTGCTGGCTCATGGACAGCTTGTTGTCCACCAGGACCCCCAGGTCCTTCTCCACAGAGCTGCTCTCCAGCAGGTCAGCCCCAGGCTGTGCTGCTGCCTGGGGTTGTTCCTCCCCAGGAGCAGGGGAGGAACAACCCCCTGCATTTGCCCTTGCTGAATTTCAGATGGTTCTTCTTTGTCCATCTCTCTCCAACTTGTCGAAGTTCTTCTGAAGAGCTGCACAGCACTCCAGGGTATTTGCCACTACTCCCAGCTCTGTGCCCTCAATGAACTTGCTGAGGAGGCATTTGCCCTTCAAGCCATTGATGAATAAGCTAAATAAAACTGGGCCCAGTGTTGAACCTTGGGTGACACCACCAGTGCCAGGCCTCCAAGTAGACCCTCTGCCACCGATTATGACCCTCATCGGCTGTTCAAGTCCACACCTCTTGAGTTAGCCTACGTTGTGAAAGGGTATTGAAAGCCTCGCTGAAGTTGAGGCAGACAATACCCACTGCTGTCCCCTCATCCATCCAGGTAGCTCTTTCATTGTAGAAGGCAATCAAACACTTGCCCACTTTTAGTGAACTCATGCTGACTACTCCTGATCACCTTCTTGTCTTCCACACGGACAGAGAAGGCCTCCAGAGTCCAGAGATGGCACCAGAAGGTGCTCCATCACCTTCCCAGGGATTCTGGTCCATAGTTCCCTAGGTCATATTTCTTGCCCATTTTGAAGACTGGGATAACAATTCCTTTCTTCCAGTCCTCAGCATCTCTCCTGATCTTCATGATATTTCAAAGGTGATCATGAACAGCCTCGTTACAGTGTGCACCAGCTCTCTCATCACTCATGGATCCATTCCAGCAGGGCCCATGGACTAGGGTCTGTCTCGTTGTTTCAGACCAAATCCTCCTTCCCTAAGAAAGTGTCTGTCTCCCAACATTCCTTCACTCTGGTCTCCTCAGTCAGGGATCCCTGAGGCCTGGCCTTGCCAGTGAAGACTGATGCAAAGGCACTCAGTAACTCTGCCCTCTCATCTTCCCCTCTTACCAGGGTCCCATCTCCACTTAATAATGAGCCCACATCATATTTTTTGTTTTCTTTTGTTACTGATGTATTTGAAAATACCCTTTTTATTATGCTTGACATTCTTAGCCAAGTTTAAGTCTAGCTGGGCACTGGCCTTTTCAGTCTCATTTGCGTTTACCCTGATCACCTCTCTATATTCACTCCAGGCGGCCTGACCCTTCTTCCATCTCCTGTGTATTTCCTGCTTATACTTGAGTAATGACAGTAGCTTTCATCCATCCATCCATCCATCCATCCATCCATCCATCCATCCATCCATCCATCCACAGAGATCTCTTGCCCCACTGGCCCAATTTCTTTCTCATTGTGAGGCATTGTTCCTGAGCCTGGAGTGAGTGAGTCCACCCTTCTGGACCCCTATTCCCTGCAGGGCCTGTTCCCATGGGAGTCATCCAAAAAGATCCCTAATGAGGTTAGTTAGCTCTCCTGAAGTTCATGGCTATAATCTTTCTTGCTGTCCCACTACCTCCTACTTCAATACAGAATTCTACATTCTCATGGTCACTACAGCCAAGACTGCCTGTCATACAAGATTTTCTTCCACTTTTTTGAGGCAATATAAATATGTAAACGGTTTCTTCATGAGCTCTAATTTACCTCCTAGATCATTCCATTGAGAATACAGAGGGACAAGAGGTATAATGCCTGCTGTGAAGAGCCCATTGACTTCAGGTGCCTGGGTGAGTTTTCATGAGATGATGAAATTCCTTGAATGCTTCAGGAGTCAGAAATTCCACAGAGCTATACATACAATAATGAACTCATAATGAGCAAGTAAGAGTGTAATATATGCTTTGAGCTGCTCAATACCATGAGAGAGGAGTCAGGAATGGAATCCAGAGCTCTGGCATTGTATTAAACTGTCATAAACAGGAAACCTGTCTTCTCCTTCCTATGATTCCACTTACTATGCTCTTCCTATTCTTCAAAGTTAAGACAGGACCTAGAAGAGAGGTCCTGTTTCAAACATTAAAGCATTTTTTATTCTTCTGATGTGACTATTCAGCACAGCAGAGATGAACATAATATAGAAGTCCAACGCAAAAGACAGCATGTTACTATTCAGTCAAAGATTATAGGTTTCTCCCAGCTTGCTCTTAGCTCATTCCTTGACTCCTGACTGCTCTAGTCACCAAGATAAGGCATACTAGCAGGTCTAGGAAGAGCTGGATACAGAGGATTGCTCTTAAAACACTATGAAGAAGAAACAGCACAAAAAATCAACACTTCTGCAACATAAAGTACTCCAAAACTGTCTAAACTTTGCACTGCCACAATGTCTTTATGCTCTGCTTCATGGCATTCAACATATATGCTCAAGTTCATTTTAGTTACTACATCAAGTAATACCCATGTTTTAACAGTCACTAAGCAATTAAGAAATGCAGCAGTCATTAAGCAATGCAGATACAGGTAAACTGATTTAGAAAGAGCTAGACTTAAGCAGTGCACAGTGGACATAAGGCAGCCTGCTAATATGGTACCTGGTCAAGTCTCTGCTTAATAGAATATTTACATTAGCTAAATTTTCCCGTTAAAGGCTCTCCCTTTTCTTTCTCCTGACTCAGTTCCTCTTTAGGATTGGGTCTTCTTTTGGCATAAGGTGAAATGCATTTCATAACCTGACAGAAATAGCAGGAGAAGGTTCTTTCATGGAGAAAGTAGATACAAGTTTAAACATGATATAGCTACAATGAAATATATGTTTATGCGTAGAGTGCTCAGTGAAAATAAATGACTACAATATATCCTTTCATTAAACTGAAAGAGAGGAGAGAAAATGCCTGGTTTGACCACCATAAGCTACCAAAGAAAATCTCTCCTCCACCTCCTCTGAGTTTAAATTAATAAATATATGCCACTTTAAGGGATGACAAATCTTCCCTTGAAATCTAATTAATTACATCCAAATTTTTTAATCTTGACAAGTGCCTACTCCTTCAGAGCCAATTTTTTTTTCCACTGTGTTTTGTTCAAATGTGTGAAATGACAATGACCTTCATAACAGGATATCTCCATGGCTAAAGTCTTGTGTCTACCTAAATCAATGGGAGTTTTCCCAGAACTTCAGAAAGATCATTAGCACATTACCATCACAAAAAATAGGATCTGACAACACTTTTAAAGTTCTGATAACTGGAACTTAATGAGCTAGACACTCCTCTTCTTTATACTTCTCCTTTAAATTGTTTTTTTTTTCACTGCCACACTTACTGTTACTAAAATTGTATTTAAAAATCAATCTGTCACCCAGCAATCCAACAAACAAATAATAAAAATATTGGAGAAAGTTGGCATCCTTAATTTTGTTTCATGACTCTCTCTAATGGCACAGAAAATAATTTATGCTATTCTTTGTGTATTATGTATGGCTAGGCTGTATTTTAAACTGCATACAACTAGTAACAGCCACAGCAACTTCCAGCAGAAAGGTGAGGCGTGATGAATACCTCCCACAGACAGAAAAAAACCAAGAAAGCAACAAGTATTTGGTCCCAAGGTTCCTTAAAAAAAAATATGGTGTCTTCTTCTTGATAAGAGCTGTCCATGGTGCCGTAGAAACTGAAATTCTGAGATGCATTTAAAGCACTCTCCCATATCTTCTGGAACAGAGGTATGTTGGGGAGATGATCCATTCAGTCTCCAGAGAGAAGAAAGATACTGTTCACACAGCACTTCTACTCACCAGTTCTTGCAGCAGCAATGGTGTTGGCTTTGAAGGAAGCCAACTGTCCTGCTCTCCCAGCCAGAGGTAAAGAATTGCATTGGTGGCCACTAGAGGGAGGATTAGGAATATAGTAAGTTGTCGGCAAAAGCCACCCATGATGAACCACATGGGACAACCTACAAATCCCCCGCTGCTGCCCAAGGGCAACAATTCTCAGATACTGCTACGGGTTGGCAAGCAAAATCCAATTGTTATCATCTTCTACAGAGGAGCTGCCAGTGTGCATCCTAAACTTTGGTGGCTGGAGGATAGGAGGGCTGACTAGGATTGTGTGAAGGACACCTACAAACACACAAAGACACATCTCTTTATTTACAGATGTCTATTTTGCCTTCTTGTTTTTAATCTCCTTACTTAAAACTTCTGATATCCTTTATCAACAAAGCTTCTGGGAAAAACAAACATACCAGCCTCAAGAGAGTCTCAGAAGTATCAGCAGAGAGAGAGACACTGTGCCAAGACATGCTGTATTTAACAAAAAGATCTGAATACATTAAAGGTACTTGAAAACAACAAAATCCACTGTGATTAAAATAAATGTTCATTAAGATCTGAGGCATACCTGAAAGAAATGTTTTCAATTAGTCACCTAGATATTTATACAGTGAAGTGTATCTTCCAATTCAGTTTACCCTGCAGCTCGACTGTCTGGTATCTTACCTCCTGCACAAGTGGCAGAACATTCTGACCAAGGCAGATGATTCCATGCAAAGCCAACCTCATTGTCTCCACTGCCAGTGCGAGAGATCGGAACATTGAATTTATATTTTATCCCCAAATTCTGTTCCTGCAGCAGAATCTGTAGTTGAAAACAACTGGTTATACCATTAAAGCAGGCAAGCAGAGAGCAAACACAGGGACATTTATTCCAGGAATGTATTGTATTCTGCTGAATGGGAAGAAAGTAATAAAGGAAGTCATGGTAGTTCTTTCTAGATACTCCCCAAAAGAATCTGTACCAGCTTTTAAAACATATACAAAAGAAAAATATTATTGTCCAAGGTGAGGTTTATCCTTTTTTTCTCCCTTAACACAACTTTATTATTTCTGTCAGTTCCTTATTCCTGAAAAAATTTCATAATTTTGCTAGTTTCATAAATTTTATAAATTTTGCTAGTTTGCAGAAAATTAATGTCTTCATGGAAATTAACTTGAGAGCTGAATAATTATGGAGTTCAAAGTTGGAAAAGCACATTACTGTAGAAAGATGCAGCAGTTCTAACTGAAGTCTTGTGAGGAGTACAGTCCACATAGTTTTGAAACTATCTCTTCCCTTGTTAGCACTTTTAGTGACTACAGTACAGTGCATTACTTCTAGTAATAATAGTAACACCAACAGACTGTTGCCGAGGCCGTTGTTTTCCCCTAATGCAACAGCCAACAGCTTAAGGTGTGATTGGTGGAATCACATCTGTGATTGCTTTAAAAGAATAACAAAGCTCTCACTGTAACCACATCACTGCAGGCAACACAGACAAAAGTGCAACAATGACCAGGAGTTTTTGCCTAGCCTTGCTGTTGAACTGCACTTCTACAGATTACCAACACTAGTCTTTGACTCTCAAACTTTTTTTTCATTGCTAATAGCACAAAATCAAGTTAGATACAGCACCCACCCTAGAGCTAATTTTCATGCATTTCTACTTTCTCTTACACTTTGCAGAGGCACATTTGCCTATCTCCACATGGCAAAAGAGCAGAGAACTTTCAGAAAGACAGTCTGTGACACAGACTGAATGAAAAAGGCACTATAATTGTGTAATTTATTCTGTATAGACTGTCTAGCTTATGCACAGATACAGAAGAAAAAAAGATTACTAAGGTGTTTGAAAATGCTGCCTAAAATGTGGATATCCATGCAACAATTATTCTCTACAAAATTATCCTATCTGGCTCAAGCAATCACTGAACTGCAAATCCGGCAGCTGACAGAATACACTGGGAAAATAGCAACTTGTTCTCATACTCCTCCTCAACATGGTAGTGAAGCAGCAGGTTCACCATTGCCTGTTGTCAGAGATGGCACCAGGATCCTGGTCATATCTTCTGCTGCATTCTCATACTCTATAAAATCTTTTAAGAGCAACGTATGTCACAGTGACATAATTTAACATGGGTCATACCACTATACTCATTCTGTGGTAAGGCTATAAATAAATGTCTCACTCAGGCCAGGCTTAAAACTATGGAAATATACAGAACTGTCAGGGACTGTGAAGTGTCAGCAGTATGCAGAGATACGATACATGGCCCATTCACAATTTTCGCTACCATTACTGTGAACCACATTTAAAGAGATGTGGGGTTTTTTTCTGTGAGTTTTCCTGGTGCTCTTCTGACTTTATCCCCATTTCATCACAATGTTTGCCAGTCAGTTTTGAAATGTAAGAAACATGTGTTAAAACACCCACACAAAGTCGCAGCTAAAAAAGCTGTATACTGTTTGTAAACTCAACCTATTATAATTTAATTCATGGCATTGTCCTTTCTCAGAACATAAATACATATTACAAATTTCAGAAAAACATTTATTGTAACTTTACCATGACTATGAGGTTTTCTGAAGTAGGGCCTAGTGCTTCCAAAGACTCAGGTTCATCTGTTGGCCTCTTGTAATGGAAAGCTGTTCCAGCAACATCAAACTTTCTTGGCCAGTCAATAGTCCAGGCACCATTAATATAGTAGTCATCCTCTTCAGATTTTAAAGCTTAAAAAAAAATACAAGCCACCTAAAAATTGGAAGCAGCATTTATAATGGAGAAGCCATTGTAAATTAATCTACTAATCTGCTAGAAGTATGTGAGCTTCAGCTCTATATCACTGTTTTTTCAAGCTATATAAAGCTTTTTCTTTAGCTCTGGTGAAAATATCCCTCATGTAAATCAATAATTTTGCCTATGCAATAATCTTCAATGTGCAGATTATTTTGTAGCTTTCAACATGCAGATGCTACATGAAATGAACCAGAATGCCTCATGCAACTTGAACTACGACATGAGATACATGCACATCTGAAATGCATAATGTATTACCAACCTCATCTTTATATTAAGAGACTGGGGCATGGAAAAGGTATCACAGACCAGAGGAAATGTGCAGAGGAAAAGAAAGAAGGAACATTAAGTCTGACATATGGTACCAGTCAGCTGTTGTTTTGTTGCCTATGTCCACTAGTTCTTTTTTGCCTTATTAAAGCACAAATACAAGATATTTCTACTACAAACTGAAATATTAGCTACTTAATCTGATAAGATATTTTATCCTCCTTAATTTGCAGCCTTGAAACATGAAAGTTCTGTAGACAAAACAGAAGTTTCATACCTAATCAACCATTAGGATGGGCAAGCACATCTTATTCAGGGATTTGAATTTGATATTTTGTTAATAATATTACATTACGTTCCTAAATATGAAACGGACATCATATTTTAAAGTGAATATTCAGTTAATTAAATATTGACTTCTTGATTTAAGGTGAAGATTACCAAGTTTTACATATTTTATTTTTTTATTTATTTTAAGTACATCATGGTTCTAAAGGAAAAATTATGGTTGGAGCCCCATAGTCGAAGAGCATGTTGTTATTCATTGAGACAAATAACTGATTATACTGGATAGGGGAAAATTTCACATCATAATGCTAAGGAGTAAGACAACTTCAGTTTTCCAACATTTTACTCTCAACTACCTGTGTGTGGACAGTTGGTTTACCTTAAACAGTTAGGGAAAATGCCTCAGTGATGCTTAAGTTGTCTAAAACAGATCAGAGAGCATTCATGTGAAAAGGAGATAGTGAGAGAGGCATTACTGTTCTACTGGTGACAATGACATTCAGCAGAAATTAGTAACCATTTCCATTAGCACCATAAGGTCTGAAAACTAAAATACTAAATATAGATACTTAAACTAATATACATCCAGAAGCAAAGCAGTTAATTTTTTATCAGCCTGCCAAAGAAAAATGCATTTCGTTTTCTACGTACATTTACCCAATGTCAGTTATGCACAGGTGAAGGCCACAGCTGCGACCAGCAGTCTAATTATTACATGACAATAACTATGCAGTGGCATAATGCTAGTAGCGTATGAGACAGAAATAACAAGTTCAGGTTCCTAATCAAATCATTTATGAGAACCTGAAATGCAGGGAGCCCACAGAAAATTATCATAAGAGGAATATAAAGCCAGCTGTCACCCTGGATCAAGCCATTTAAGGGAAGGTAACAGCACAACTAATTATGCAGTTTTTTCTGCAGCTCTGAACACAGACAGTTTTGTTGCTGCTGGGTTATCTGTTGGAGAAATCAGTTAAAATATTGTAGCATTTGTGCAGCTGCAGAAATGGGCTTTTGACCAATTTTGTTACATAACTAGGAGTGATACTGGTGAAAAAACGATCAGCCAAATCAAGGTGAGAGAGGATAGGAGATAGCTGAGCGAACTGAATTGTCTAACTGCACTCCAAACTTGAGGTCATGGATTTCAAATTAACTCCATTCCAGTTTAAGGAAATATGGGACGTTTGCTGTGAGTTAGGTTGAAAGTCTGAGTTTGAATAAAGGAGCCAGTGTGACAACTACAGAGGAAGAGGGGTTTATTTTTTTGGTATTTTAGAATCACATTAAAGAATGCCCTTACCAATGTAGTTTTTTGACATTGCCACTTCTCTTATTTCAATGTGCACAGAACCTCTTGGAATTTGAATCACTTCCATATATCCTGTAAGAAAAAGATTATTTAAGAAAAATTTTATTTAGGAAGGAAAACTGTCTAAACTTCGTACAAAAATTTTTAACTGACAGCAAGAACTTAAGTATTCAGAAATTCCTTTTTTTAAGTGCTAATAAAGTATTTTCAACAGTGTATCTTAAGTAATTAAGACATTTAGAAATGTCTTCAGGAACATAGGACAATTCAAGTGTTAGAGGACTTCAGTCAATCATTTAGTCCGACTTCCTGCTACAAGCAAGAACAGCTAAGAGATCAGATTGAGTTACTCAGAACTTTTAGCTGCTGGGTCATGAAAAACTCCAAAAATGGAAACTGTACAATCTTTCTAGGAAATCTGATCCACTCCTAGACTGTCGTCCTGAGGAAATAGTTTTTTCTTCTGTTTGGTTAATCACCTTCCTTCTACCCGTTTATAGCTACTGTCTTGTCTCCCACCATGTATCCACCAGTGCAGTGCCTGGCTTCGTTGTCTCCATTACCTCCTCATAGTATTGGAGGGCTCATAACAGATCCCCATAAACCAGGGGATTCTCCAGGCTGAGCAAGCCCAGTTCTCTCAACCTCTCCTCACAGAGGGTCAAGTGTTCCAGACCCCCATAATCTTTCTGGTCCTCCACTGGACAGAGCTAACTGCAGTACTTCACTCCTTTTCCTGAATTATGGAGTCCAAAATCTGCTAACACTAAGACTACAAGATTAATATTTTTTTGAGCTAAGTTTTAAAATAATAGCCTATATATATTTCCTGAATTCTTAATATTATGAACTTCTGAGATTTTTCTGTATTCTTTCTATTCTAAAATTTCATGCATGACTACCAGATTCTACCATACACAGTAAAATAATATACTACATTACTCTTAATATACCACCATAACTAAATAATTACAAAAAACTTCACCAACAGGCCTAAGCAAGCATTCAGTAATTAAACACATTGTTGTATTCAGGATAAATCCAAACTAATACATAAAACCAAGAAACAATAGGAAAACAGAGTCAAAGTGAATGACCAGCAGCAATGCCACACTGGGAAAGAAGGCAGCATTGGTATGTGCTAAAGAGTGGTCTAAAAGCATTGTGTGACAGAATGGACACACATGTACATACCTCCTCTGGGCAATGAACCATTGAAGAAACCTTCAATGGCTTCACACGTACTCCCATCTCCTCCACAAACACGGCATCTGTCTTCCTTAGCATCAGACCCCAAAATATTATCGCAACCTACATGCTGATAAGAACAGATAAGAAGAAATATTTTTACAGGATGATGGTCATGCACCATTATTACTAAAGTTTCTTTGAAGTGTTTCTCTCAAGTTTGAGATATTCAGTTCTTATTTTTATCTACCCTATTGTTGATAACCAGTACTTTAAGTGGGTTTTCACTTGACAATGAAAGGAGATAAAAAAGGAGAAGAATTTGCATTTTGGGTTGTTATTAAATCTTTATTAATAAGAACTTTGCATTTCTACTGTGACTTCTAGGAAGGTATTTCTCAGTGTTTTGCTATTATAACTATCATATAATTATATAATAAATGATTACTGATGTTGTTATTTGATATTACAACAGCTTCGTGCCAACTATATTGCTTTTTTAAGGTCAAGATTTGCTGTGTGATCCTTAAACATCTAGACAGCATAAGTAGTATTCTAAGGCATTACAGCTTGATAGACCATATTTCCACATGCTGCAGGAGAAACTTGCATTTGTATAGGTATGAATGTAGAGTGTAAATAACTTCACAGTAAGAATAAATGCAGGATGAAACATAGTGAAAAGCTGAATTGCATGCTGAATTAGATGAAAAAACATTAAAATAAATGAAAATAGAGACAGGACCTTTGGGAAAAGAAAAAAAATTAGGATGAAAAAGATAGGTTGTAAACAGAATAAAGACTGCAGCTTGCCAATATTTTTCTAGGACTCATACAAAGAAGAAGGTAGCTACTTAATTGTCTAGTTGTCTTTGTTTCCTGTCTAGCACTATTATTTGTCATCTTGTAAACAGGTAATACACACATTATAAGAAAAGTTAAAATATATTCAATAACTGACAAAATATTATTTTAACTCTTTACATTTCAACTTACTGATTCACTAAGATGACAGAAACCAAACTTTCTTCACAGTTCATTCTCAACTTGAGATACTTTTTATTGGTTTACTAAAATATGGCAAAACTTTTGATCTCACTATGTCATTAAATAAACATGTATCTTCAGCCCCCCATTTAGCAAAGCACTTCAGCATTAAGTTAAGCTTTAGTTATGTCAGTGGTTTTGTTGAAATCAAATAATTTTTAGTCACCAGTGCTATTCAAATATCTAGACCTAAGTACATAATTAAATGTTTTGCTAAAGTGAGGAATAAGTGGAATGTTAATAAACAAAAAAATGGCACAGAACCCCAATCCTATTGAAATTCTTCTAATGCAGTTCTATAGGAATCCTACAAGATAATCAGATTTTTAGTAAATGGCAAATACGTACATTGTTATACGTTTTTTACTAGAACCACAGGGCAATAGTGATGACTTTCTGTTTCAATTACATTAACAGCATGATTTTTTGCAACAGGATGAACTAGTTAAAGATATTAATATGTTCACATTTAGTGTTTTTCAGCCAGAGAGATGTTCTAACTGAAAGGATGGAACAGGCCTTGGAAGAGTGCAAGGAGCCTGTTCATCTCCTGTTGCCATTTTCATGAACTTTTTAACAGAAACCATAAAGCAAGAAAAAAGATTAAATGGCAGATTCAGTCTCTGAAAAGTTACTGAAATTCAAACTATTTGTCTATTTTATGCAATATCTTTTTTAACTTTCTCTCTCAATCATACACTTTTATTAACAACTTGACCTGTCAACACTCCCTTTCATGTAACATACAAGTATCTTAACTAAATATAGGTAACAGCAGACACAACAAAGAAATCCGTAGGTACTTTATAAAATGTTTGTAACCTTGCATTCTCCATTGATACAGATATCCAGTGAATCAGCATTGCACTGAGTCCCATCTATTACTGCAGGAGCACGCTCAGTGTAAAAATTATACCCTTCAGCCAAGCAGTTTAATGCACATGGTTTAACCCCACCTGCACAACAAAATCAAATGAAAGGGGAAAAAAAATTAACCTTACAAATTTAAGGTTTAGTTAAAAATATTATACACAAACAGATCTGCAATTTACAGTCTTATCTCATACCTTACATATACAAGGTATACTCTTTATTTAACTACCCCTTAATGCTTTCTCTACTTGACACTTCTCTTTTGCAAAAAGGAGTTGTATGTTATTTCACACAGTAAGATATGACAAGGTTGGCTGGGTCCATAATGCTAGTACAATCCTAATGATTATTAAACAATTTAAAACAAGGATACTACTTCACTATTTCAAAAGGAAGAACAGCAACAAAATACACTACAGCTCACACCACATGATCGTGATGACCTTTCTTAAGCTTTGAATCTAAAAACCTGTTTGTTAAACCATTTAGGCTGTTAAGCTAAAAATCACTGGTAAATCATTTTATTCAAGTCAATAAAGTATAAAAACCACAAGTTATATCTCCCAGCTTTAGAACAGGAAAAAAGTATTAAATTATGATATTATAAATAATGCAATTATTGAAGTAGTCTTTAGAGGCTCCTATAAATGCTTTTACTTCTTTCTCATTTTCCTGACTTTAATAAAGGCAAACTTATTGTCAGATTACTTAACATGAAACTCATCATTGCAGCATAAAAGGTACTTGCAGATCACTTATGGAATATCTAACTCCAGTACAGGTGCAGGTGGAGAATGGCTCCATATTTTTAAAGTGGAGTCTCTACAATGATGATTGATGACTCACCTTCAGACCAAAACAAAATCTACTAGAATAAAGAAATTTTGGTCTTCAGTAACACTTGCAGCAACTGACAAAAGTATAAGCTTAAAAATCTTAGCTCATGATATTTTTGTCAAAACGTTATATTTACAAACATTACCCTCTATACAACATTTATATAATTTCAAAATCTTCACTTATGATAATGGTTTTGCAATGCTAACCATTACCTCCAGTGTAGGGTTTCCAGTTATAATACTTTCCCCGGAAAGGCATATTGTCAAAATCCGCACACTGCTTCTCTCTAAAATCACGAGCCCCTGAAGGACATGGCTAAAAAAATAACACAAAATAGTTAATTTATTCCAAATATAAACATGAAAAGAAATGCTTAGAAGCTTACACTGCAAACACAATCATGCAAGCGATTAGAAGGTTTTGTCTTGTGGCTCTGACTCTGAAATTTCCTTTATTACTTTACAGTTGAAGTGTCCATTTGCAACCTCAGGCTGGCATGAAATAGCCGAAGTAATTTAAAGAAAGGTAAGTGTTACATAACAGATTCCATAAAACTGGAAAATCAGAATCCTATCCTGTCAAACTATGTGTCATAATCAATCCATCAGCTACTTTCTTATAAACACATTTAAAACAGCTGGGAAAAAAATTTGGTCAGAGCTGTAGGTTCACTTATACTGTACTAAGCAGCTGTACTGAGACACGTTATTAAGACATCAAGGAAAAAACCCATTTTCTATAGAACTATATCACTCCTGCTTACTTGTAGCCTTGACAAAAGTATTTTTGAAGGCTGAGAAAGAGAATAGATAGCATGTCTGGCTCTGATTACCAGCCTCCATGCGTCAAGAAATAAAAACTTTCATTTAAATTTTCATTGCTTTGCATTAGCAATTACAAAACCATGAAGTAACTTTTTTACTTGGAATGAGGGTAGATTTAAATAAAATTAATCTTGGAAAGAATTATAGGAAAAATATAATTCTTTGCTATTTATAACCTACTACATCAGCAGATTCAAAGTAATCTTGAATATACCCTCATCTCATTAAACACTTATCAATGTTTAAGTACCTGCTGAAATTGAAATCATCATCAGAAAGTATTTAAAACACAGATTAAAATCCTGTTTAGAGTGATAGAGAAAAGTATTATTTTTGACAGACATTAGAGGTGTTAATAAACATTACTACTTTATGAGCAAGAGAAGAGTCCATTTTACGGCATTTTACTTGTCTTCCTGTACACCTAAGCCAGTTAGCTTTTCCCAGGAATCTGAAATGCCTTCAACTGAAATGCTTCTATTAACATGGATGCTAAAAATTTATCACACAATGTAAATATAAACATAACAATTATGATTCTCATTATACATTAATCAAGAATTCATGATAGCAAGCCCATTGCCATATTATTCAGGAGCTTTATTTTTTTTTCTGCTATTCTGAAGCAATATAAATTAAACAGTGAACATTAGATAGTACTTATATTTTTAATTTTCTCATTACCCCCTTATAATAAAAATACAATTTTAAACACAATGCATTAGCTGGTAAGAACAGAGTAATGCAATTACTTTTATTCAAAAATCCTTGAGATTATAACAATAAGAATTCAAAATAACTACATAAATTAAAAAAAAAATTAGGGTGTTTTTAATAGTAACCTAAACTAAATTTGCCTCTTTGCATCACATCTTCCAAGCAGTGGAAGGATCAGTCTTGACATCCCTCAAAGCTAGAGCCTGAATCTCTCAGGAACTGGTCCCTTCACCCTCCTTCAGTCCCATTTGCTCAGCTTCTAAACTACACAACTGGTATTTTAATTGCACTGAATTCTCCTTACAAGTTAAATAATGAAACCCTTTATCTAAATAGTTATACTAGGGCAAAATAATATAATATGAAGATGAGTAAAGAAGGATAAAGATTTTGTTTTTTATACTCTAAAAAATATTCTTGCTACCTGGTCTTTGAGATGTAGTCTGGCTGCCTAATTTTCCTATCTTTTTTTAGTATCTCACCAATAGCTGACAGGAGGTACAACTAAAGGCTACGATCTCAAGAAATGCATACAAAACTGTGTTTGACAAATCTGCTTGCCTTCTATGACACATTAACCTTCTTAGTTGCTGTTGGGTGAGCGGTGGACACTGCTTGCCTGGATTTCTCCAAGGCTCTCAGTATTGCTTCCCACAGCCTCTTCTGCAGAAGGTGTTGTGTTGTGGCATTGACAAGGGGTCCATAGGTGGGTGGGGACCTGGCTGACCCAGGGCAGTTGTCAATCTGACAGCCTGGTACAAGGGGTGTTCCCAGAGATTGATACTGGGCCCAACACTGTTTATTTTTCAGAGTGATCTAGAAGATGGGATCAATGCTGGTGCAGTTTTCCAATAATAATATACTGGTTGAGGAAGCGGATGCTTGCGAAGGGAGAGCCACCCTGCAGAAAAACCTGGATAAGCTGGAATAGTGGGCTGATGAGAATACAGTGAAGTGTAAGGTTTTGCACCTGGAAAAGCAAAACCTCAGTCCAGGAGTGCAGCACAGGATCTACCCGGCTGGGGAGCAGCTCTGTGGGAAGGAGCCTGGCACTCCTGGTGGACTCAGCTCCATCTGAGTGCCCAGAGTGCTCCTGCAGCACAGAAAGGGAGCAGATCCTGAGTGGCTCCAACAAGGGCCACACCAGCAGAGATAAAGTGCTTATCCCACCCCACACTGTGGCCACACCTGCAAATCTGTGTCCAGTTTTGGCCCCTGGGGGACAACGGAGATGTGGACAGGCTGGAGAGGTCCAAAGGAGGGCCACAAAGGCAATCACAGGGCTGGGAAGCCTGACACGTGAGGAGTGGCTGAGGGAACTGGGTTTGCTCACCCTTGAGAAAGGAAGGCTTGGGGGAGGCTTTATCTCCATGTTATTTGAAGACCTTATCCCCAGTATTTGAAGGCTGACTACAAAGAAGATGAAGACTCCCTCCATTACAAGGAGTCACATGGCGGAATGTGATGTAATGTGTACAAGTAATTCCTGGGCAGATTCTGATTGAATACAGATTAGAAACTTTTCTCAATGAGAACAACTCAATGGAATTATTTTCTCAGAACAGTGGTAATTTCCCAACCAGCAGATACTTTTAAGATTTGGCTGGACAGGATGCTGGGCCATCTTGTCCAGACCATGTTTTTGCAGAGAAATGTTGGATCAGATAATCCTTGAGATCCCTTCCAACCTAAGACTCTATGAAAATTGTAGGCACACAAATGCAAGAAGATTACCACAAGGTAAACCAGAAAACGCATTTATAAAATGACATCTCTTTGGCACTATCTCTTTGTGTATGTGTTCTTTTCCTAACATAAACATGCAATAACTGCTTTTCTTTACTGGGTAAGATATTTCACATTTTTCATCCAATTATACTACATGGATAACTCTTGTCAAGCTAAAGACTGCTTGTGTCTCCAAATGCTCTTTTATGAGGCTGTCAATCAGGTGGTAGGAATCCAGCAAGAATATGAGAACTTAAAATCATGTCTGAAGAAAGTCCTGAAAAGGAGATGTTTTGAGTTTAAAAAGTGTTAACAAATTCCTAAACCAACACTGACACACACCTGTTCATCTTAGAGTTTGGGGTGAGGTAGATTTCAGCAACTGAACTTGTTGTTTCCTATTAACAAAGGTCTGTACAACCCCTCAGAGAAGATGAGAAACAAGCCAGAAGAGCAACAGTGCAAACTCAGGTACTGTTACATTATATGTCTTCTCACATGAATTAATTTTAGAAAAAAAATTGCTTGAAAGTATTAAAATTATGAAACAAGAAACAATATCTGTGAATGTATGCATAATGAAAGGAACACTCCCCCCAAAAAGAAACCAAGATTCTGTTAAGAGAAAGGAATCAAAAACAATACAATTTTTAAAGTATGTCCACACACATATATACATAAAAAATTTCCAGAATTTGTAAGCAAACTATGTGTTTCATAAAATATATAAAAAGGTCACTTTTACAACTTTAGACGTATGTCAAATTAAGATTTGCATCCTTATAAATATTTTAAATCAATTAGTTACTGTAACTGAGAAATTATGTTTCATGCCATTCTACTAGAATTTTGTACTTTTTTTTAAATTAAAAATACTTTGGTTGGAAAAAATACATATTTTTTGTTAGAGATAAAGTGGTTGGCGATAGAAAACAGTTTCTGATGAGTGTGTTCTTTCTACCACCCTTATGCTTCCAGAACTTATTAGCTAATGTTATTTTCTGCTGATCTCAATGTTTCCATTAGCAGATGCCTTTTGAATTAAGAAGTCATATATGGCTTTGGAAGTGCTTGACGAGAAATAAGTCTAGTAGGAGTGTGCACTGTTTCCAAAGGATTAAAATAGTAAAAAAAAAGACAAAAGAACTAACTCGTGTCTGCAAGAAAACTGAAGTCAAAATAAGGGTTTTTTTGGTTAGGAATGGTAGGCACTTTAGGCAGGGCTATGTTGAAAGTTACATATGGGCAATGAATGTTGATGCTGCAAAAGAAACTTCAACAGAAAAAATGTACAAACAGCACATTATTAATAAAAACAATAACAGATTTCCATGCTCTTCCATGCCCACTTATATTAATCAATATACCATTCCATTAAAACTATCAAGGACTAACTATCAAGCACTAAGGACTAACATAAATCTTGAAACAAGTGTCTCACCAGTGTCTACTAGTGCCTCTGATTCTTAGTGATGTAGAATCATAAATATTGCTATGAAAGGACTAGAATTGTCAAAACCATTAAGACTGTAAATTTAGACTTCTGTAAATACCAGGATATTCACACACTGGAAAAAACATACCAAAAAACATGTTAAAACATTGGATCACAAACTGTAAGAATGGCATTTTCAAACTGCCTGGCTTGAGTTTGCAATCAGTTGTTTTTCAGTCCTAGGCAATGAAATTAAAAGCTCCCTTTCCAATATCTTGTTGAAATTACTGACTGAAATATGAGAACAGGTAGGAAACCAGTACTTCAGAATAGAGTGCTGTAATTTTTAAATATTTCAATAGATTGTTGCAATGGTTTAAATAGATGCAAATTACTACACTCAGGTATGAACAATTGACTGTGAAAGCACAGCTGAAGAGTGACCTCCTGAACAGCTCTTTTAAGAAAGAGTTTTGGGTACAATGAATCAACTTGGACTAAATGAACATTGTCACGACTACTACTAATAAAAAAAATTAACAAAATACTAAAATGAATGAACAGAATCCCATCACTAATGTGACAAACTAAGTTTGCAATTAGAGTTATCTCTGACAGGCCTCAGCTAGTGCAGTGGTTTGTGCACCATGCTTCAAGGTGTGTACTACTGGGATCTCAGTGGTTACCAACAAAGAGACAGTCTGGTGTAAAGAAAACTAAGAACAGACATGACAGTAATCTGCAAACACAGGAAAGGTTCCAATCTAGGGAATAATACCATTTATCTTCTTATTGGGGTAAGGGGGTAAGTAGAGATCTTAAAGGATTGAAAAACATACCTAATATTTTATGAAAATTGTACTGACTGTAAGATATTAAAAATTCCTAATGTTATTTCCTGGACTGCAGGTATTTCAAAACAGGTCAGGTGCCTAACCATCAGTTAAGAATGATTTATTGAGAATTATTTTGTCTTTGTGCCAGGGAATAGCCTGAATGGCCTCCTTAGAGACCATCTGTATGTTTCTCCTCTGACTCTGTAAAGTTCCTCTCTGCAATAAATAAATAAACAATAGGGGAAGAAAAAGCAACTAAGAATAAAATTGTCTGAAAATTGACAATTAGAAATTTAATATCATAAAAATATACCAACTCATAGCAACATTTCTGTGGTGTGTCTAGGTAGGTATGGGGTCATTCTTAATAATAAAAAAGCATTAAAAATTGTGTATTTGTGAAGGTACAGGATTACAAAGTATGTAAACATTTTTATATACTAGTTACTGTGGCATATTAGAGACAAATACAAGATTTGAAATAATAATGCCTGGACAAATACTTCACACGAGTCCTCAGAGTTAAGGAGGAGGGCTGTTTTGTGTCGTGTTTTTTAACAAATCTTAGACTGTGGGTACAAACTCAAACAGTACTAATGTAAAAATATCATTATTTGAAAAGGATTAATAGAATAGCCTAGATTACAATTTGCCTCATACCAATCCCAAACAAACAGAAAAGCTGGCTGATACTTGATTGACACAGGTTTAAAATAAAGATAAATAATAACCCAAATCAGTGTAAGTTTTATCAACTAAAACTTATTACAATTCCTGGTTAAATTAAAAGAATAATTAAACATACCTAGATTTTGGTAAGTCACCTAGCTTAGTAGTGGACATTGTGGAAATTGTTGTAATAGTTCAATAAAGCCTATGCAAAATTTACTAAATATTGACTGACAGATTTCAGTAAGCAGTCATCATGTGGTTGCCAAATTGGAAAGTGGATTTCCTATCAGCCGTAAGAATTAGAATGACACCTGATGAAACTCAAAATTTTCATTTGTGAACTACAATTACAAAAATATTTCTTGTTTATGAAATATTCCAATTACAAAAAGACTGCCTAAGTGAAAGTAAAGAGAAAGGTAAATTAATTACTGAGTATCATCTGATAAACCAGATTCATTCAAATTAAAATTGTAGCAAGACAGACAAATCCAAAGATTCACATCTACAGAAAAAAATAACAATGCCAAGGTTCCAGAATGGTGCACTGGATTTTGGAGGTTGGATAACTGGAAAAGTTTTACAGCTCCTACTGGACAGCACCTAAACTTCAGTTTTTCTTACTACACTGTGGCCACTTCTTGACTGTGTGAACCGGGCAGCTGTGATCAACAGTAAGAAAGAAATTTTTAATTAAGAAATTTTGAATACTGCCTAATAATGAGAATTACCTCCACAGAGAAATTTGCAGCGACAAAAATTACAATAATTGATAATGATCATAAATGTAAATTTTTTCCAAAGAATTAGTATATAAACGATTATAGTTTCCTGAATATATTGAAATATAAAGAGGTGAAATAATATCTCTATGTACAGATTCTCTCAGCCTTACAAACTTCCTTGGTTTAAGATGAAAATTAATATGAATTTAAAGCTAAAATAGTAGGAGAGTTTCTTATATTTGCAGTACTACTGACCTTAATTTGAATTGGAAACTTATTTGTGAAATCCTTTATAATGTGTCTTTTTTCCTGGTTTGAATTTTAAGTTACTTGTATATATAATTTAGGTTCATAATTTGACCTTATACATTTATACTGTGTCCTGCCCCTTCAGGGTCCCTGTCCAATGGGCTCAGCTCTAAAATGGAACTGCAGGATCATTCTGGTGATACAGTAAACAGCAAATACCTGCTGGCAAAACAGCAGGTTTCGAATACATTTGCACAAAGCTTGTAAGAGGATTGTGTAGCACATTAGTACTGAATGTTATAATGGTACAAAAAGTGTAAGAGGGCTTAAAAGTGGATTCATGGAGGATACTTTAACTTGTGGCAGTTGATGTGGTACAGATACAACACGACTTCCAGCAATCTTTAGAAACACAGCTTTTGGAAGGTAAACCAATAGAAAAGTCACCCCTTGCCTGTCAAAAGTGTATAATTTATTCCCCGTAAACCTGTTATAGGCCACTGCTGGGAGATAAGACAGTGGGCTAGACAGATTTTTGCACTGATGTAGAATGATCCTTGTTCACATTTACTGGGGAAGCTCAAGTGGAACTCACTCCAGGCCTTAAAGCAAAGGCACTAGCTAGACACCACATCAAGACAGGATCCTAACTTTACCAGAACACACACAATGCCTGCAATACAGATGAGCCTTATGGGACTGTTTGCCAGTTAAACACAGAATCCATACACTTTCTGAACTGGAGAAAAAAGCTTCCATTGCTGATAAATAACAAACCAGTCAAGTTGATCACAGTAGAATAAAAATTACTTACATCGGTATTGCAGGAGCGATAACGCTTCCTTTCTCCAAGACAATATTTGCCTCCACCTGAAGGCCTGGAAAAATATGTTTATATGTTAGGATATGCCCTAGAACAAACACAACTTAATCAGATATACTAATGCATTCTTAATATAATACAAGTCCAAGAGACATAAATTACATAAATAAAAATACAACCAAGTTTTAAAATGAGATTTTGATAAGAATTGTATCTTTGACTTGCATTGGAGCAGACACAAAATATTACTTGGTACTTGAAAAATCATTACCCATAATATTAATGTAGTTTTCATAAGTTCCAAACAGTACAGTTTAATTGCATTTTGAACATAATAAAAAAAAAATCTGTTGGTTTTAATTATTTACTTGGTTTATAAAATTAAAATGAGAAATGTGTAAACAACCAATACAATACTTTTTTTTTTTTTCAATCATCTCATCTTACTTGAAAACCAACAAAGGCAGGTTTTGTACTTGGAACCAGCAAAGGCTGCATATTCTAGTTCAGAAATTTGACTTTGATTTGAGTTAATCAGTATTAAATCTGAGGAAACTCCAGAGTAAGCAGATTTCTATTAGTTTAGGTAATTGATTATTAAATTGCCAAATTGCACAAAAACTCTATCTATCTTCCATACAGGTCAAATATTGAACTAACTTAGACTTATATGGAAGACATCAGACATAAGCTCTTTTGCTTGCAACTTGATAGCAAAAAGAAAAAAAATAGTTTGTGAGGCTTTCATAATAAAATATTTAAATATTTACAGTTAAAAATTTACTATAAAATTATACCAATACTATTTTTCATATTACAGTATTTAACCAGAAAATGTTATTCTTAATTAACAGGGTTTTTTTTCCTATTGCAGACATACCCTCTCCCAATGCATTTGCCTGTTAAACATTGAAAATTTAGTAATTTTCATCATACCAACCCAAATATAGGATGACAGAAGTTGGAAAAAAATCTTAGGATATTATTCATGCTCCAAGCAAACATTTCACTAGGCTTTTAAAACACTGTTTTGAAAAAAAAAATTAATTTCTTGTTCTCTCACTAACACAATCTGATTCTGTTATTGATGCATACAGATAATTTCTGCTTTTGTATCCATTGAGTAAGTAGTGATATTGGCCAGATTAGGTAGTTACTGCTAAAATAGGGGCAAACAGACCACCTTAAGTAGCAGTCATATGACATTATCTGTCTTGCAGAGTGCAGTGGAGAGCTGATGAACAACCTGGCTTGGAAAACATGGATATAAGAAACAAATAACCCAAGTGAACAGAGAGCAGAAGACAAGAAAAGGAGTGACAAAAGACAGAGAATGAATTTTCATGAAAGAAACACAAATGACTTTCAGAAGAAGTGGTCTTAAAAACCAGTAGTGGTGACGGAGATAGTGATTATGAGAAATGACAAGAAGAGAACATGGAGTAATAGAACTATCCTGCGAAGGCCTATAGCTGTGGTGAGGTAATCAGAACAGATAAAAGCCAAAACAGAAAACAGCAGCAATTCATTCAGCAAAGAACAGCAATAGAAATAAGCATTCCTCATTTGAGAAGAGATAATGACAGAGAGAGGAGCACTTACCTGACAGAACTTCCCTGGAACAGTGTTCAGGGCATTGGAAAACAGACAGATTGTAAGACAAGTACAGATATACATAACAGATCAAGTTGTAGTGGAGAAGCTGCCCCCTCTTCAGAGAGGGAAAACACACCAATAGAGAGTAGTGGCACGGAAAAAACATTCTGAATTGTTTTAAGAGTCAGTAGGAAGCCACATGTAAAGTGTGGGACAAGGAAGCATGTAAATACACTGTATGCAATATAATATTACTACCTATGGTTTATATGTAAGCAGTTATATTGAAAACCTTGGAAATACTGTGTTGGGTTTGGGGTTTATTTTTTTAATAAGTAACTAGTAATTGTTATTTTATATCTGAGACAAGCATTAAAGGAAATATGCCCTATGAAAGAAACTTCTTTAAGGCATAATTTAAATATATTATGATGAACAACAAGTCACATAAAGAAAACCATTCTGGTTACTGCTAAATATAAATCCAGCTATCTTTACAGTACATAAGATACATTAAAAATGTTAGAAGCATGTCTAGTGAACTCCTGTTTAAGCATTTCTGTCTGCTATTTTGAAGACAAATGTTGGCAAACTAGCAAAACATTTTTACAGATACCAAGTGAAACCACAGTTTTGAATAATTTCCAAATGTGTCTTTTTGTTGGCTCCGGCTTACTTTAGCTACTTACGCTGGACTGTCACAGTGTCTTATAGATGAGGAGACTCCTCCCCCGCAGGTCCTGCTGCACTCTCCCCATATTGACCACGGACCCCAACCCCCATCTACGCTCTGGGGCCAAGTGCCAAAAGGTACGCACTCTCCCTGATAACACCACTGAAAGATTTCACAAAAGAAACACAAAATTAGCTTGGAGGCTGACATAGTTATCAGGACAGAAAAATATAAGGGTCAGACAATGACCAATTATAGGCATTAGCATTCCCTGTATAGATAACAAGACTAGTATTTTACTTTTTCTAGCCATGTTTAGACATTGGTGAGGGTGTGTGTGATTTGTTAAATGTCTCCACTCAGTCCTGAATTATAGGTCCCTAACACACACCAGAAGTATTTTTTATTTCATCAGACTCCTTAATGTTTCACAATTAAGGAACTACAAGTTGCTTACATTCTTTTAAACACTAAGATTCATTTCCAAGCCCAGTTTGGTAAAAGACCCTCTACTGAAGATTTACGTAGAGGCTTCATTACAGAAAATGAAAAATTCCCCTGATAACTTTTTAAAGAAAGTATTTATTTTTATAAAAGAAAATCTGGAGTACATTACAATGAAGTAAAAATTTTTCTCCATATTTCATTCACTAACATTACAGACATAATAAAAGTAGTGCTGAAGCATTAGGCATAGGACAGAAAATCATTTTATAATAAATAGTGACTGGCCACTTGTTTGGGGCAGAATGGACATGTGAATCTCATTCAAGCAAACATTTAAACTTTGTAATATTATTACTTAAATCAGAAATGCAAAATGACAGACAATTTGCCCAAATTATTAACTATTAAAACAAGTTTATAATTTAATTCATCAGATACCTTTTCTAAACCATACAGAAATAACCCTGGAGCCCATATTTTGATCACATTCTGATGTCTACCGTATCACTGAGAATTTGAAGCAGCTCTATGAGGTACCCTTTCCTACTACTGCAGGTTTAGGTGACAGAGCAGAGCATGGACTCAGGTCCATCATGACCTAAATCTGCACATTTCCCTTCCAAAAGCTGAGCAAGTGCTGTTTTTAAACTCCCTCGAATTTCTGTAGTATTGATCCTGTCCAAAAAAAAGACAGACAACTTCTGTGTCCACCCCTCATTATCACAGTGTTTTGCAATCCCTCTCACGACACAATAAGGATGGAGTATAAAGTGAGCTCGAGAAGTGCCTAAAATCATGTTTTTCTTCTCTTTGCACTGATAAATTGATAGAAATTTTATTACTAAATGTTAAAATCTCCTTGTTGCAATCTATTAGAGATGCCACAAAGGTACATGAACAGATATTTAATGCTAAAGTCAAAAGCTAAAAATGAAAATGCTTCTAAGAGTAAAAATGTAAGCAACCAATTTAATTTAAATTACACTACATACGTAACAAACATACCAAGATCCAAGCTAAGAAATGGAAGATACTCAGATTTAAATTCATAACAATATCACAGATATAAAACTGAAGAGGTATACTATCCTAATTCCATACTATTAGAACTATAGAGACAATAGGCAGGTACAATTTACCTACTTTATTTTTCCAAAGCTGTATATAATCCCTGTAGTGTATAATTTCCACTGTCATGCAAACATTGTCTTCCACATTCCCACACTGCCATGTAAAACCTCTTTAAATGCTGGGTTTTCCCATCTACTGAACTTAAATTTGAGGATTTAATGTTCACCTCTGTGTCTCCTGATTTTCTAGTAAAAATTTATCTTTCACTAGAAGCCAGTGTTGCACAGAATCTCTGTCATAGTAATTAAAAAATTACAAAAGTCTTCATTACTTCTAATGGGACTGCAGAAATGTGTTTCCTCCAAGAATGACAGCAACTTCATCTGCTATAGTGAGGTTAGGACTATTGAGTAATCACCATATGAAGAAAGAAGAGGAGGTGACAGCTATTTAAAAAAAACAGTTCTTCACAGAAGGTTTAGGTCTGAAATATTAATTCTTCTCTAACACTGAAAGAATAATTTTCCATTATTTCAGTGGAAAGATGACAGTGATGTATTTAAATACGCATGAAATATGCAAATCCTCTGTGAATAAAAGCACTCTGAAATTTTTCCTAAAGAAGTAACTAATGAAAATAAAATATGATATGGCGGCACATTTGAGATCACTTTTACAAATATTAGCTGCTTTACAGAATTAACATTTATAGCAGTATGGTTTTAGAACAACCACACAGCAAGTACTCTAACATAGAGAAAAATTTATTTCCTATTTTGTATGAGGAAGAAAAATATTAATGTAAATTTTAACTACTAATTCTACAATTATTATGCAAAAAAGTGTAATGTTCAATACTAACCTACATTTATTTTATGTTAATTTCCAATGACAAGTTAAATCATCCCACAATGTAGCTAGATAAGCTATCCTTTCAGCACTGTGTTTGCGTTTTTTGCATGTTTGCCCCTCTTTTCGATCTCTAGCATGGATGTAATCTATGAGCTACAGAAAGGGTCACCTTTTTTATTACTTTAAATTAAAACACAACATAAGTACTCCTATCTGTTTCTTCTTATTGTTTTATACACAGCGTTTTTTCATGAGTATATTTTTTAAAAATCTATCAGTTAATTTACCTTCACAACCACGTCTCTGGGAATACCAGAGAGAAATTTCACATGTATTTAAAATTCTTATTACAAATTAAGAAAAGTGTACCTTTTTGAACCCAGTTGATATATAAAACCCTTCACCAAATCATGAATATATTAAAGCTTCAAGGTTCAACAGAGGTTCCATCAGCAGCAAGAAACAATTCTATTCTTTTTTCCTGTATTCAGACAACAGCTGAATAACTCTTATGGAAAACATTCTAAAAACCTTCCAGGGTAAGCAGATATCTACCACAGAAAATTTCAACCGAAAGGGTTAAAAGCTTGGCAAGTTTACAAAAACAACTGAAAGAAGGCTTTATTATAGAAGGTTAGGCTGTTTTAATTGTAGAAATCCCCACACATTCTGCCAATAAGATATTTATATATATTGAATCAAATTATGGTTTGGGTATTTGTTACACATAATACATAAGTAAATATATAAACACAATTAAATACTCTGAGATCTTGTTAGGTATTTAGAGCTGGAAATTTAATTTATTATATATTCGCACAGAATCCTTCAAAATAGGGCTTAACTTGGTTGGGGCCTTTAGGCAGTACAAATGCAGTAATAATAATAATAATCATCATCATCATCATCATCATAACAACAACAACACTAAGAAGGTGTTACACTGCAGTAACCTATTTATTTCATATTACTCTTTGGGAAAGGAAATTACATGTTTGGAAAGAGCTCATGATATCTGGTTTATTGCTACCAGGAACTATTAATTTACAGGAAACTTTGTGGATACAGTTCACAGACACAATTCTCCGCTGTTAACAGGCATCTTTGGTTAACAGGTTTATCTTTGTAAAATGCTATGGATTCTCTCATTTCCCTCTAAAATCTCATAATGGAACAATATACCGATGACTGGAAAAAGATGTTTGGCAGAGAGAGCAAACTGATTAAAACTTCTTGACAAGGGAATAGATCAACAGTGTCTAAAAGAACCACAACTTGTAGTCTCATGGTTCAAAATACATACATTGGGGTAAATTACTCTTCGTCATTGAAAAGGAGAATGGTTCCAAACTAAACCTAGACTGCTGATTTAAGAGCACAGCTTCTAATATTTTCTATTACTCTAATAGAAATAGAGTAACATTTCTGTTACTCTAATAGAGGTTAACATTTTTGGTAAAACTGTGAACATCTCCCTGTTTTTATTGGCTAACTCTATTCACTCTGTTTTTTAAAGTGACCAGTCCAATAAATTTATTTAACATGGTCAACCAATATTTCCAAACCCAGCCAGGAAAAGCCATCAGAATGATACCAGGTCATGGGCCCTGAATGAAGCTGTCAACACACATTAATAAACTGTGACAGCTGCCCAAAAGCTTTCATTCTTGCTGTTTAAACATCAGATTACAAGTCAAAATGCACTGTTATCTTTGTTGAAACCAGCTCAGCTAGCATGACAAAAGTCAGAGTGAGAATAGATTTTCAGAAAAAAATCCAGTCTGGATCACTGAATCTCCTGAACAGATGCAGACACAAATGGTTTAATATAACAAGCTCTCTTCACTTGGTACAAAACCTGCATAAAATAGATTATCTTGAAAAAAGGTATGCAGAATGCATTTTTTCCTCCCCAGTACATATCTTTAAAATCAGCTAAAATATTTTTTTCTCTCCTTTTCAAGATCTGAATAGATTTTGCCTTGTAACTGAGAAACAGTCTTCTAACATTCTTGTCTGAAACTAGTGATATACAGAGATTGTTTTAAAATCAAAATTCTCTTATCAGACAGATATTGTAGTGCTAAATTTATCTATTGCAACACTGTCTTTCTGTACTTTTCTGTTAGGTGGAAGAGTTTATCTGACTGTACATCAAAGTCCGTAAAGCCAAACAGTTATGTAAGCATAACTGAACAATGAAAAAAATAATTCAAAGTCAAAATAGAAAGGTCACTAGGAAATACAGGCTTTTAGAAAACCCTTTTATGCAGTCATCCTTTTTTCTATATGCTTGTATGATTTGGCATATATCTGAAAAAATAAAATTCTTTTCCCTTCTAACAAAATGACATAGTTCAGGCTCTAGATTATGTTGCACATTTTCAAAGTCCATGGCAGACCTAAAGCTGCAACAATTCGTAATGGAAGAGTGGTATAAAATCAAATAAAGATTAAACTAAAAGAGTTTTTACCAAAAAAAAAAAAAAAACCCACTCAAAAAATAGACAGAAGAAATAGAACATGTTTTGGGGTTGTTATTTGATCTAGGCTCTAGAGTTTTATAGAGAGGATAAATATTTTATTAAATTACACCTATAAAATAATGGTGAAAAAATTCTGTAGGACACTTTCCATTACGAGGTACACGTATTATGATAACCTGCATTTTTGTTTGAACTCTTATAATTGCTGTGAAATACTTTGATTTTCTAGTTCTTTCTTCTTGTTGTCTTTGAACAATAAATTGCTTCTTCAAACAATAAATTTTTTTGCACTCACCCCCTTTTCAATGCTCCCTGTTTGGCAAAGAGTACCTTCTGCTGCTGGAATGCTGTTGGTAACACAGCGGTTACTTTTGCTGAGGCACCAGAGCTCTCTACACACTTCCTAGGAAAGAAGGCAAAAGCAAGTTGATCAGAATAAAAGCCTAAAATTTCTTCCAGTACACATACACAAATTTGTTTTGAACAGAGAAAATTAAGATGTGGTCTGTAGAGAAAAATCTAAAAATGGCTGTGATGGCAGCAATTTTGAAGACACTATATTTTGCCTAGGAATATTCTGCCCAAAAAAAACCATTCTGGAAGCATCAAAACTAGGCAATAATATGTTTTTCACACCTGCCATGCAAGTAATGTTCTATAATTGCTTTTTTTCTTGACTTGTGCTAAGACTGGGCTTAGTATATTTTAGTGTTGTTACAGAAGTAGTCTTCAGATGAGCTGTAGTGTCTCCATTAAGGCTGCTATCTGCCTCAAAATTACCTGCCAAAAAGGATATCAATAATCTTGAGATATGAAACAGCAAAAATTATTTTTCTTTCCTTTATGTAAAAACAAAGATTTTGAGCTCTGGCTAGCTGCACTCCTCTTCTGCAACACTTGTTAAAGCAGTGCATGCGTAGTTAGCACTAACTAACCTACGTATTAAAATATTTCCTTTAGGCTTTTTAGATTTGCAACTGCTCTTCCATAAATGATTCATCCTGTCCTATTTCCCTACTTTGTCAGTGTTAAACTAACAGAAATTTTCAAGTAATCTTTCTGTTCCTACCATATTTTCTCATTTGGTTTTGCCCATTTATTAATTTAAATTAAGCCAGTTCTGCTGATATTGGAGATAAATTGTTAAAACTAGCAAAGGGTTGAAATTCATAAAGTGGGCATGATCCAAAATTGGGTGAACACCGGAAATCTTCGCAGTTGCTTCAGTTGCCCCTGGATTCAGCTGTGTACACACAAAAGAATGAAGAGGTGTTTGCTTTTACAGTAAATTACTTACACAATAATATTTACTGTATTGCTTTGGGATCTGTGCAAGAGTTCACAACTTCCTTATACACATTCTATATTTTAAAATGTCTTTTTAAAAATTTGGAATATAACAAGATCTTTAAAATTATCTTATCATAATCCTTACTGTTTCACTTTATTTAACTGCTGCTTGAAATAATATTCTACAAAAAGTCCTTATATAGGTTCTATAGTGCAACTTGAAAGAAAAAGAAAAAGACAATATGAATGAACTGAAGTTATTGTCCACTCCCCTCCAGGTTAATTGTTTCTCTAATGTAATGAATAAGTATCTGGCACCTACACACCTGTATGATGTGTTCTATACACATCAACTGGAACAACTGTTATGTTTTACCCCAAGATTCATAATTCTTGCATTGTACTGCATATAAAAATTGATTTATTTATACATTACTGTCTAGCAGCTGCAGCAATAGTTCAACAGTAGAATCTTTTCTTGAAGAATGCAGAATTAATTACAAAGTTTAAAATCAGCTGATGAGATTCTTGCAGGGACGTTAGTACAGCGTATTTAGTTTCATGATTGGCAGAAGCAAGGTATCTTCTCTATAGTCCATTAAAAAAACAGACTATAGGAATGGTTTGAAATTATATGGAACGAAAACTGGTGATTCTTGGACTTTCCAACCAATTTTTGACAATTAGGCCTAAGTTAATTCATCCTATTTAGTGTCTGGCACTATGAAAACTTAAAATTATTTAACCTGTTTTGGGAGATATACTGCCACTGGTAAAAATCTACCTGTAGCCAATGCAGAACTTTTCAAATTAGCTTTCTTTCAACAAAGAAATTTAAGCAGTATAAATATTTACTTAAAACTCTGAACAATTTTTTTTCTCACTCAAGTTGAAAAATCTTCAAATTAAGATACACATAAATAAATATACTAATTAAAATTAAACAGAGAAGTAACAGAAGATACATCACATAGCTTCTTGAAAAATTTAGCTCGATTACAAATTTTACAGCAACAAACTAAGGTGCCAAAATTCAACACTAAATCAATTTCACATCTAAATTAACCATGAATCCAAACTTCAATACAGTACGGATTACAAAATGAAAACATACAATGACTTATTTTCAGACACAGCATGAGGTCCTCCCGTAATAAACCTGCCTTATTTACTTTAACCTTTAATTTACTTTCTCATTTTGTTGAACAAAATTGGTGTAATTTACTCACTTATTCTTCACATGTGTCTTATATTGTCAAATAAAAAAGAGTCAGACTGTAATAATTCTACTTGTGACCTTCTATTTATTTTAGATCTGACCAAGTTCAAATGTCTGAGTTAGCAGCTGTCCTGACTTCACAGAGTTTGCTCCAATGTTCTGAAAAGCAAAACATTCAACTGCATTAAGAAACAAAGATTTTGAACATTCTGATATGGACAAAAGCGAAAAATTGGTCAGGATAGCAGTCTGGAGTTTTAAAACATCTGTGTTTCAGGATTATTTGAATCCAGAATTCTGGCTTTTGCTCCAGAGTTTATGAGCAGAATCCCAATTCTGATATACCTACACACATATACCGTCTATTTATCATGTAAGTGGAAGTAATAATTAATGTCTTTACCATTTGTCTCTACAAATGGGAGCATTTGGTAACTTCCTTTCAATAGGATTCTTTCTGTATATCAGACTTCTCTGTTGCATTAGACTTTTCTAATTCACTGATCTAATACCAGCCTGACATTTTAATTCACCAGTGTGAATTAACGAATACAGCGCTCCAAAACTATTTTAGTCGTTCATCTGTTTGTTGGAAGATTACAAGCAGGTCAACTCACCTCCCTACTTCACAAAATGAGAAAAACATTTATTCCTAAATTGTTCTGAGAAGCAGTACACCAAAACTAGATATTATTACTGACATCTTCTGATTGTCCTTTTTCAGACCGTAATTTCAGCAGGAATTTACCTCAGTAATTCCCTAAAGACAAAATGATAGTGGAATAAAATTACTATGGGCTTTATCATACTACTAATGTGTGAGCAGAAACCTCTACTTAAATCAGAAAGGAGTTCTGTTTGAGACAGATATACAATATCTTAAGATCACTAGAATATTTCCTCAAAGAGAAACTATTCAAAGCACCAAAGATCCACAAAAATAACACAATGTATCAATTTGTAGACATAATTTATATTAAACCCAAGAAATGAAAGGATTTTGTAGTATCTTTTAAATATAGCCAAATTTAAGATACTGTTTATTTTTCCCCACTGTACTGCATTTAAAAGAAAACATAGACTCTGAAGTATATTCTCCATCACCCTGTACATGAAATGAAAAATAACATTAATAGTCAGTCATTTGAAAACAAATTAGATACCTAACAAGAAGTAAAAAATCCATCTGTGTTGTTATTTCATTAAATGAAAATCATTAAATGAAAATGGAATTAGACCAAGTGTTCCTATGGCTATGTCTTCTTTATTTTCAACTGACCTTGGGAAGTTAAACAAAGTTCTGACTAAGGTTCCTAAAGCTTTCTCTTCTCCAGCTCAACCCCATGAATCCTATACATTCTACTACTTTAGTTATTGACAGGAGCCATTTCCTTACTACCACCATTATCTGTAACACCTCTAATCAATAGTTTTTAATAAACCCCCTTTAAAACATACAAGAAACTGCCCTGGAAAAGTGAAGCCCAAAATAACTAATAGAAAGTATACTGCTTTTTTTCACACACTCACACAAGCACATGCACCCACCCACACCCACCCACCAACAGGTGACCCTTTTAGGGTAGTCTTTTCTTCCTCAGAAAAGGATGTAGCTAATGTATATTTTGCCAACATTATATTTGTTTGAATAATTCAATGAAACTAAGAGAAAGAAGCATAATCTGAAAATTAATAAATTACTTGAAAGTCAGCCTCCAAATGTCTGTGTTTAGTAACTACTAATTTGTAAAGTAAACAAGGGAAAAAATTTAAAAATCCAGGAAACATAAACTGAAGCTGAGGCCTTTCACAAGATCAAGACAAGATAGATGACAACCTGTAACGGTGTATCTTAGGGTTCCATGACTTCAGTTTGGAATTCGGATGCTTGTATTTGGAGTAAATTAAATAAAGCTGAACCCATCTAGAGAAAAAAACACAGCAAATCAAATTACCTTCATTTTGCCTAAGTATTATAAATGATGGAGCCTCTTTCTGTTGCATCATGCAGCGTTACATACAGGCATTTCAAATTATGTAACATCTAAGCATCCTATATCATCATCATCATAAATTGTTACAATACAGCACAATGAAAACTCAGTAATATGAGCAAAGATCAAACTGCTGTGCTGTACTTGTTTTCAAAACTCATGAAAGCTTCCAACAAAAGTTAGTAGTTCAGCACATAAAATTAAAATTTAAAAAAAAGATATGGAAAATACATTCACAAGGCATATTAAATTATGATAATTTGGGAGGTTCACCTTTTTTTCCAAAATTTTTTAAAAATCTTAAATAGGTTTGTCTGTTACTTCAGCATGTTTAATTTTTAATATGCTGCACCTCTTGATGAGCATTTGCTAAAAGAGAGAATAAAAACAATTAGCTTGAATTGCAATTCAGACCCGAAAATCATCAACAGAGTATTTTCAGGCTCATTGCTGAAATGATGATGACAACTCGACTAAAACTAGAGGACCCTAATTAGTAAGTGAACTTCAGAAGGTTCAAAGTTTTGTTCAGATAAGCACCCAAAAGTTACCATTTTAGCGCTTCACCACCAAAAGCTCAATAAGTGGTGAATTACACACCAAAGAATGTGAAATAGAATACAAAACTTAAGTCCCACCTTCATATTATGTTTCCAATATTCTTTCATAAACATTGGGTGTTTATGTGAACCTTAAGGAAACTAAAGGAACCCTACAAGGTCAATCACCTCCAAGTACCATTTTCCCTTTCAAACCCATGCAACCTATCCATCTTTATTCGAACAACATTCCGGTATCTGGAATCTCATCCATTACTGCTTCTACAATCATCTAATGCACTTCTCCTGTTCTGATCACCAGCTTCTCCTTGCACTTTCTTAACAGCATTCATAAGATGCAGGCACATTGGTGTTGATATCTGTGTTTCTTAAGGGAGAGAAAGAGAAAAACAAAGACAGAAAAAAAGGAAAAAGAGTGGGGTTTGGAGATAAGATAGTCCTAATGAAGACAAAAAGGGGACTGCAGAAACTTGTTTGAAAAAGGATGCAGAACTGCTTTAGGTTCCAGAAAGGAAAAACTTCTGAGGCTTCCCTTGGCTATACACATCATAAACTTAAAAAGAAGACGTAACAAAATTCATTTAATTGCAACACAATCCTGTAAGTCCTTACACAAGAAAAGCTTGAAACTTTAATAATCTGTAATGATGAAGGCCTGCACAATAGCAGCAAAGTTCTTTAAACTGATTAGGAAGCAAAAAAAAAAAAAAAGTTGACAAAAATGACAGAGTATGATACCAGTATCTTCAATTCCTTTCTTTGCTTACACATACTTTTAACATCACTTTGTGAGTAATGCAACATAAATCCATCTGACGAAACTACATGTGCTCAGCTAACAAGCATAAGGGCAACTTAGTTATGATATATGAAGCTGGGGTCAAAAAAGGCGCTTTACAGTGAGTTATTATTATGCCCAAATTCAACTAAATACATGATCCTAGGCATAGTATCAGTGAGGGAACAAAAGGAAAACAGAGCTTTGGTACAAAGATACAACAGTGGCTTCTCTGCCTTTCCTTGTGAAAGATCATCAGCTTCCAGAATCTACTTCTGCTTCTATCTTCCTATAAAACCCGTACCTTAAGCTCAATACTACTGCTCTTCATTTAATTGGAGTAAACTACATCTTTATTTCTCTTGAAATATGGATGTAGCTTAATTAATGAATGTTTAATTAATGAACATTGAAATTTGTATCACCCGATTACTAGGGTCAATTGCAATCCAGGCCTAGTGGAAATATTTTAGAACTACAGATATATAGTAACATATTTAGTCTCCTGGATTTTAAAGTCAGCTGATCAATGCATAGAAAAGCATAAAATGCAAGCAAAATATACCAAATAATTGTAAGCTACTATCTCTGAAACCCTGCTGCTAGCAGCCAGCACCTTCACAGATCGTAAAATGCAATACAGCAATACCAACCATATGCATAAAGTATTAACTGCTTTTAAAATGTCTGAGGTTTTAGCCACTCTTCTAAAAATGTAGGGAAGAACTCTAAAGCAGAGCATTATTTTGAACCACAAAATCAGTAAGATAGGCATTTTTCATGTATGCTTTAAACTCATAAAGCAGGGAAATCAAAAGTCAAGACTGCAACTCTTTCCTAAGTTAACCCAGAGACAGCCAACAGCCAACTGTTACTAGGCAGATGCTCAAAGGTTAAGGAGATCAGAAGTCAATGAAAAAGTTTCCCTTACAATCACCTAAACCAAAAGACTAAAGGAGGTTCTGAACTATTAGTGGAACTAAAACACAAACAGAGCAGAGAATTGAGACACATCGGACAATCAGCAGAAGAAAATCCACACTGCGTCATCCTGGAAGATCCAGCAGTTACATAACTGAAGAGGAACTAGCACTCTTTCAACAACCTAAAAATCTTTCACTACAGTGAATTCAATAAGATACCTGAAAACATGTATTGCCTTTCGAAAAAAGCTGTACATTAGTGTTGAATGGTGCAATCTCCACCATTAGAATTTGGCTCACTGTAAGTTATAAATTTAACATTCTCCTGAGTGTGAAAATATACCCTAAAAATGAAATATTTTAAATAGCTTGAGACATTGCCTTTCACTTTTTTATTCAAATACTCATTTCTTCACCTAAATTCTGTAACGTTTTCCCTGTATCAAAAGGGACATAGTATAGTATATAGATTAGTATAGTACAGTATACAGAACAATGCACATGTAACACTAAAAAGATCAGTGTTACTTGCTAAAATACAGCTTTATTTTTTCAGCTCAAACAGCTAAGGCATCACCTTGTCTCAATTACTATGCTAAACACAGAGAAATCTGACCAATAGCTTCAATGCTTTTGCTACAAGAGATCTGTCCAAATGTAACTAAATAGTTTGATTAGGAGTCATCCTCAAAATAGCACCAAAACTGAAGAGCTCCTTTTTATGCCAGATTGTCCCCTTGTCAGTAAACAAACGCACACAAAAGCAGAAACTTGAAGTCCCTTTAGTAATTGAGTTCTGATGCTTTAATTGGTCTAACACCTCTCCATGTTATATAACTTCACATTCCTAAGTAAGAACAGCTCCAACTTTAACAGTGAAAAATTCATTGCAGAATTTCAGGATCAATGATCTAAAGCAACAGTTCGACTTAATATCCAGAGGAAGCAGATGAAGAAATAAGGGAGAAAAGGCAACACAGATTAACATTAAAGCTACGTGGTTGAAAGAGGTACTTTTTCTAAAGGTTAGAAGATTATGGCAGAATTCCTAAGCAGAAAGAATATGAAGATTTTCCAAGTTATTCTGAAAACAGCATTTATATCAACAGGTTCATCACAGGCCACAGAAGATTTTCTGCCTGCATGTATTTTGATTTGAGAGTTCAAGTGTTTCTCTTGTCATGGCTTGCCACTAAAAACCAGTAAAGAAAATGAGCAAGAGAAAAATGCAAGCAATTTTCTCTGAGACTTGGAATTTATATACTTTTGGGTCACAAAACTCCCTGTTGGAAAACCTGCTATACACCTTTTTTATTAGATGCTTCAAATAAAAAGGGCTAAAAGAAATGCTTGAAAGGAGCTAGTATATGAACCACATTCATTGTAAATAGTTAGTCTTTGCTATGCTTTTCCATCATAGTTGCACATGTGTCTGTTCAAAAAAGATCCATGAGCTATTAATAGCACCTTCATTGAACAGTACATTGAAAAGAAATATTCAAAGCACTGACTGTTTACTTTTGATAATAAGAGAGTTGAGCAGAGTATTCAATTTAGCTTGTCCTGGAATTTAGATCCAGTTTCACTCTTCAGTCCTGAAACACTTTCATATATAAAGAAATCTTTTCTAAGTAGGTTATTTTCACCTGCACTACAACCTCCCAAAAGCTGTTTCTCCCCTGCTTCAAAATTATCACTTCAAATCTCTAAGATAGTAATCACCATGGTCACATTTAAAGAGCAATGGTTGTGGCAGATAATATTTTAAATGTATATACTATTTTAAATGCATATTATTTATTATTATTAGAATGGACACTGCCAGACTTCTACAATAACTTAAATATTAATATATGCAGTTTGAATCCTGTGATCAAAATAGTGTGGTTATTTTCTGAAACACTTGGAATTTATGTTCATATTGATGGCACACTGATGGAACACCTCACCCAATATCAATTCAGACGTCTGGTAATGAAGACATAGCTTCATTTCATGAAGCTCCAATTAATTGCCTCAATTAAGTGTCAATATATTTTCCATAACTCTTAGGGAATCCCAAAAAAACTTTTTTAAAAAAGAAAGCAGAAGGCAAAAGGGAAAGATAACATATATGTCTTCATTACTTCCAGTTATTTCTGGTTTAGAAACTGGTCTAATAAAGAAAATGCACTGTGCAGTACAATCATCACAATAATGGATACACAGCTTAACAGTGTTTAAAAAAACCCTACATATATGTGGAAAAGCCAGGTTTTGCACATTATGAACTTTCCAGTTTAATTTAGAATGCAATATGTCTCCAAAAACTGTGCTATAAATCATAGATTAAATAGCTGCAAATTTCTCTAGTCTGCAATTAAAAGATTGTGGTGAAAATTTGTAAGAAAAAAATAAAAATAAAAATGGTATGATTTAGATGAAGAGACAGGAAATAGGGCCATTAAAAATAGTGATGGGAAGTGAGAACCTAAAGAGGAACAATAAAGGCCAAAAGAGGCTTGATGAGGAATCAGAAGACTCAGAGCTAGTTAGCCAGCTACATAGCTCTTAGATCCTTTCCAAAATGCAATTTGCCAAAGAGGCATCCCAAAAATAATATTGTATTCATCACCCCAGAAATATTAAAAATGGAATTTCTTGGTTTATTTCATTATTTTATCTAAATAATCTAAGATTTTAAAATCATTAAAACTATTTACTTTTAAATCATAAGATATGTTCTCAATGTTTACTTAATGTGGTTTCAGCTGATTATTTCATAACTAGTATAGCAGAATGCTTTTTTGCCTTTAACTGCATACTTTTGGCGGGAAGATTTTAAGTAAATATTTGTAATACAATGACCTACATGCGAAGATTTTTATTTCTACTGTAAATTTAATTACTTTAATTATTGCACACTGGTACGTGCAGCCAAATCTTTACTAGTACTTTGCTACTCAGTATTCTATCCAGCTATCTAGCTTCATGTTCATCTATTCCCTGAACCATAATTCATCTTTCAAAATAGATATCTGAATAATGAGAGATGCAATAGACTCAATGTCAGGGGGAAAACAAACAAACAAACAAACAAGAAAATAAAATCATATCTGATAAATCAATACAAGTACAAAAGGAGCTTCAAAATGTAGCTTTATATGGAAAGATTACAGCCAAAAAAACAGACTTCATGTTCCAAGATTAATACAACATAAACCTGATCTCAGTCAAGCAAAATCAGGGAAAAATTCTCAATTACACTTTACAAGGATTGGGCTCGAGTGTTCTGGGCTCTTTTTCTCCCTGCAATTAAAGAACACCTTACCCAGCTCATTATTACCCACATTTAGTGTACAGCACATACAAAGGGCTCAAACAAAAGATGCAGCATAAGGATTAAAATTAACCCTTTGCTTACAAACTATGGCACCGGCCATGCTATTGGAAATCTGTAACCCACTACTACAACTAACTAAAGATTTATGCTATAACGGAATATATACAAATGACTAAGCAGAACACTCAGCATAAGGATTAAGACTTCTTACCCCATATTTACATTGGCGGGATGTTGCTCCATACTGGAAGCGACACTGTTCATCAGCATCATACACCTGACCTGGGGCCACAGCTGGATAAAGAAAGTCACGCTTGGGAGGCTCATTATCAAGGCAAGTACCACGGCCCGAACTGTTCAACATAAAGGACCAAATCAATTAGGAATTCTACTGACTGTAAATCACAGTAATGATATTATGTATCTAGTTATTACTTTTAACAGTGCTGGGTGTGAAACAAATATGATTGCAATAAACAGACAGTAAGAAGGTACACCCATACAAACAAGAGAAAATATTTAGAGGTAATTAGGAAATTAAAATAATTTTTCATCATTATTATTTTAGATTGTGAAATAATTTTATATATTATCCTTTTTTAAAGTGTGATAATTTCTGAGCCACACAAGACTGATTTTCATTTTTGGTTTAGGATTCCTATTTGTTTTCACTGAAGAACAACTACATTTAGTAATAGAATGAAAAATAAACAAATCAAGCAAATGCAAGAAATTCAGTTTACAATTTGAAATGACCCTTCTGATCCTTCAAACAGCTAAGTATAACCTTATAGATAGAAGCAGCTCAACTGGTTCATGTAATACTAAAACACATTTGAGTTTCAACATGACAAAATGTTTATAGGATCAGGACCTTAACATGCAAGCTTTTCTTCCATTTGAGTAAAGAAAATAGTTACAGAGGTAAAAATTCTGCAGGAAATTCAAATTTACCTATACCAGGATGAGTGAAAAAATTTGTACGGGTCCAAGATCTTTTTTACTGTACTAACAGTGAGTCCTAAAAAATTCATGTTTGAACCAAAAGAATCATCTTTGCAAACTTTAATATTTTCTTCTTTTTATATTCACTGTTTTGTTCAGTGGTTGATGGTTTTTTTCCAAAATATGCCCATATTCAACCACAATATTTTAGTGTAGTGGAATAAATGACAAAGAAAGCCAAAACCAGACTGAGCTCTATTTAGAAAACTTTGTACTTTGCTAAATACAATTATTCAGTTTTATTGGGTCAGTGTGCATAAAAGAGGACAGATGCTTTTTTACTTTCATTTCATATGTGAATAAGTGAGGATTTTCAAAGAATTCTTATGGCAACACTTAAAATTTTTTTCCAACATTCCTACCAATTTTGCCAGCACTTATGTTCTGTTTTTTTCCAAATCTTTTCCATGCACCTTGCCAAAGGAACGTAATTTCAGAAGTGAATGTTCTACACTGTTTTTTGGAGATCTCCAATTTTCTATACTTTTCATCTGCAGATAAAAAAAGAGCAAAAAGCGTCCTTGAACTACACATTTTATGTTCTCATTTTAATCTATTTTGATCAAGTCTTCAAAGTAGTAGAAAAGATCCTTTGGAAAAATGAAGAAATAACCTTCGCCAACCACTTCAGAAGGTGCAAATAGCAACTAATGCAAGAACCAGGTAAATATTGGAAAAAATACAATATTTGGTGACAAATTCCAAGGATTTTGGTGTGATTCACCTGCATGCATGCACACACACCATACCCATGCATCCACTCAGCTGAAATCTACCTTTAAAATATCAACTGTGTGGTTCTTGCCTAAAAAAATGGTGTACTTTCCCCTTTATCTCATGTAATTGCTGCAAATATACATATTTTCTAGCACCAGAAGTTGGGAAAATATCCTTGAATTTTTTAAAATATTTGAGTGTTGTATTTTGCATATATGAGGAGTGCCTGTTAAAAATTCCAATATTAAAAGAACTGATAAGCTGATTTTTCTGCAATGTCTGGACTAAACTGCAGATAGAATCTTTCCTTAAACAAGCAGTGAGAAGTTTAGCATTTGGCACCAGCTTGAGCTAGTATGGCCATATGATGGAAACATTTCCACAGATTCCACACATTGCAGCTTACAAGATGACTGCAAACTGTGGTCTTGTAAACAGATGGCTGAGGGCACAGCATTTGAAAAACCTCATTACCTTCAGTGACTTCTCTCCACAGGCATATGTACCCCTGCCCAAAGTAGATTACAGAACCCATTCTAAATCTTTAAATTTGCTAAATTAAAATCTATACCTACTCTACAAGACATGCAATGACAGAAAAGCAAGTCATAAATCCTTGTATTGAATACAAAAAAACTACTCTTCTGCTCTAATGACCAGATTTGCACCATTATAAAATATTGTTGTAGTAATTGAGAAAAGTAACTGAGAAGTTTTTCTCTTACTAGCTACATTATTTCACAAACTCTAGACTGAAAATTTATTTCTGACTTTCCTTCTGCTTCAGTTCTATTATTTATCTCAAACAACTGAGCAAAACTGGCCCCTGATACTGTATTGTGGAAACTGAAGTATCCTAGAAAAGAAATGGCATGATCTTTATAAATACATTAATAAAACCAGAGACTCCATTGGTAATGAAAGGTCTGACCAAAGCTGTGCAAAAGATGAGTACAGGCTGAGGACTATTTAACCTTTCCAGAAAACTTTTACAGGACTTGGGCATGGTCCAATACTCTTGTGTGTACGTCCCTGTTCTCTCTTTCTTTGTTCCATCAAAGCAAAGCCCAGATACTTGAGAAAAAAAAAAATTGTGTTAAATCTAGGGGAATGAACCAAAAGGGTCCAAGAAGATTCATGGTTTTGGAGAACTTTATAAAGAGAGATCTAATAGTTATTATCAGTCAGGCATATAGAAGTGTAGATGCAAAAAAGGGTAGGAAAGAATGCCCCAAATACCTTCATATGCACAATTTTAGAAAATTTCTACTCAATTGCTTTTGTGCTTTGTGATTTTATCTTATATAGGTAGTATATACACCAAGTCAAAAAATCTACAGGATATCCCTGCAGAACATTTGCATTTTTGAACATGGGGTGGAAAAATCTTTAATGTCTGCAACAGAAATAAGATGATCTTGAACTGACCATTACATTCTATTACTCTACAAGGTACTAATAGTACTCACAGTTTTTCTCATTTTCCTAACTTTAGGTTAATTTTGTGAGGTTTTATGGGACATACTGGGACTTGTTTCAATTATGAAATAGCTAAGATTGATGTCATTTCAGCCCAGTATTCCAGTGTCGTGTCTCCAGAGATTATTTAAAAACACTCCACAATTTAAACTCTTTTTTTGTATTTTAATATCAGAGAATAGCAAATTATTCTTCTGTTTGAAAGTATAACAAGGATTTTAGAACATTCTAGGAAAGCTTAAGATTTCAGACTGTTATCACTGCTAACTGCTCAACCAAATTAATAGCAACTAGGAATTAAATGTTTCTAAATCTTTACAGACTGAACAACACAAAACTCAGGATCACCACCTCAGCACAGATACCACAGTTGCACTAAAGACCAACAAAGAGAAAAAGCAAAAACCATGGATGTAGCTCTCTCAGGCTTTATGTTCCTATTACATACCTATTCCCAAATATCCCTGCTTACATAGTATAATCCCAACTCTTTCAGTGGCAGAAGAAAATATCCCAGAACGCTGGCTCTGAAAATTGGTTTTGAATGTCACACAACGGCTTCATTAATAATAATTATGTGGACTATAATTTAATATTTAATGCTTAATGATCACAAATCACATGTAGTGTAAATATTTGTGAATATCTGTTATAGCTAAACAATCATATACATAAATACATTGATAGTACACATAATGTTTTATTTAATTCTGATTCCAAATTAGCCATAAAATATGAAAAAAGCAATAGTAAAATTAACAAAAAACACAGAGCATTTTTACATATACATACCATTAATTATTTACATGTCAATACATCTGACTCCTTACAGAATCCTTACTTCATATTTATAAGCATAAACTGATTTTTAAAAGCAACAGCTTATAGATCTGTACAGGTTACAAAAGCTGCTTTACTTGACATTAATGGGTAAACTCTGCACATTGCTCAGTAGTCTACAGATCTAAGCATAAATATTTGTAGAATCTGGACATAAGTAACAGAACTGAGATTTGGATTTGTTGTGCTTTAGATTAAATGAAGCCAAATGCAATTACTAAATAAAAGCTTTCTTGAATGTTAGGGAAATTCAGATTTACCACTCACTCTTCTGATAAAATCTACTTCTTTCCATTCTTTTATGCCAAGGTTGGCTCTGTCTCAGTATCTATTTCATACGAAAGACTTTGCAATTTTGCACAATCTTTTCATCACACTCAATGTTCCTTTTGCTTGGACATAGTAATTTGCTGTTTCTTTAATGCTTACTATCCCCCATGCTTTCCTGTGTTCCAAAGTGTTATTTTATTCATTGGAATATTCAGCAGCTATACAAAGAAAAATCTATTGGTTCTTCTATCAAAACCACCCCCCTAACAAAACCCTGTTTTAAGAGTTCAGGAGTTACTAACATATAAAATACTGGACCAATCATTTATTTCATCAGATATTCTACAAATAAGTTAATGGAAATGTGATGCTGATTCTGCCCTTTACAATGTCCTTGTATTTAAATAAATCAAAAGTTAGACAAAGAGTAATACTTGCATAGTCAACACTCAAAGCCATATTGCTGTCCCATAATTACAGAAACTCTCAGGTATTTTTTTCAACTAAATAGCCTTTTAAGTAAAACATAAGATTTTCAAAGTTTCAGAAATGTATAGCAAATGAGGACACATGGTTTTTATTTAATTATCTGTTAGCAAAAAATAGTTTAAATCTTCATATAATTTAAAGAAAAGAAGCAAATTATAACCCAAAGTGTAGGTCAATGCATAATACTGCATGCAAATTTTCTCCATTGATTTGTAGAAAGAGATATTAAATTTTGATAGGATTTATGTGATCTTATCTTTCAAAACTAGTCTTGGTTTATACTTTTTTTCAGAAGTTACTTTACATTTCTGGAGTATGAGGGAACTGGCCAGTGCGCCACCGATAATGTATGAGGCATATGTAGACATATCCTATATTTACCTTGCATATCCACTTGTACATTTAAGATTCTTGGGCAGATGATATCAGGACCAGAACACGGAATCATTTTTTCTTTCCCTATATTGTCTGCATGGGCTTGCTTGGACCAAGATAGTTTTGGCTCCCTTCCAGAGTTAGAAAGTTGTAGTCTAAGATCTAAATCCTGCTGTATGGCAATCATAGAATGTCTCCAAGAATTTCCTGTGATAGACCTTATAATGAAATAATTTAAGAGTCTTGGTTCTCCTCCATCTTCAAAAGACAATCCTGCCTTTGAAAGACAGAGCTGGCCATCTTGCTTCTCTTAACTCTTTTCCTGTTACTGACAAGAAAAATAAACTATGATTCCAGAAATCACACAGTTTTTTTATAACAAAATGTAGAAGTTATATACACACACACACACACACACACATGTTGCATGGAATTAAATTCATACTAACTGTTTTTCAGTCACTAAAATTTTAGGCTTGGTTCTTTTCTCCTATGAACAGATATTACAGGTTTCTACTCATCCCACTGAAATCTCTGTCCCCTGAGACTGCTCTCCAAGCCTTCAATTCTCAGTCAGTATTACTGTAATTAGTTCCATATAATGTTAGTGAAATTAAAGTCATTGCAAAGCACATAATTCAGTTGATAAACTGAATTATATCAATCTTTCACTCTACCTAAAAGCTTGATAGACAACAGCCATTTTAAGCTTGGCAGACAACAGCTCTTATGTGTTTCAAGGAATGTTTTATCCAGAAAAAAAATATTTCCTTTGGCCATTCCAGTATTTGTACTGGTTGATCATCCTTGGTGAGAGTTTTGGTAGACCTATCAGCATTACACAACTTTGCTTTGTCTTATTGTCAGCCTTTGAGCCATATTCATCCTCTTTCCAGCACTCTTGGAAAATAATCTGCTTTCCCAACTACTGCCTGACTGATACCCTCCAGGTCACACTTCATGGTTACTCCTCAGTGTAAAACTGCTATAGCAAGTGGTGACCTGAGCTGGTAAACTAGTAAATCCACATTAGCCTTCCTTACCATAAAATACTGTGAATGTGTAATGAAATTCTATCAAAACTCACTCCAGTTGCATTAACATGGTACCATGACAGCATGGCCCAAACATGGGCAAAGGTCCAAAGATACGAATTGAAAAGCTCTCACAGACCCGGTCGCTGTTTGGGTATCTGCATTTAATACCCTCAAGTCCCACTTGTCTTGTTACACACAGCTAAATGAATTCCAAACCAGCTTGGCCTCTAAAGCTCTATATCAGCTTTTTTCTCACCTGTTGCCAAGTCATCAAGAAATATTAGGGAAAAAAAAAATCATTTTTCCAGTGAGGATGCACACTCTTCTACTCTTCTAAAAGCAATCGCAGTTATGTTGCACACATGCCACATGAAACTTTCTATTATTGTTCTAATTCTTTCTAACTGTTTACTACCTGCAACTGAAATATAGCTGCTCTGTCTTAAGGAAAGGTGTGAATGGGTAAAAAGTGATTTTGGGTTGTGACTGTTGTCCTGCAGGTATTTATTTTACTCTAACAGCTGCCTGTTATCATTGAGATTGCATAAAAGCTGGGGAGGAAACTAGAAACTAGAGAAACAAAGTACAGTTTTACAGATTATCTATGTTATGAAATAATAAATTGAATATTTTAAGGAAAAATCTAACAATTCATTTACGGGATATTAGAACCACAGACAATAAGAAGCATAGATTTATGATAAACAGATCATATTTGAGAAAGCTGACATTTTTGAAAACAGATTTCAGGATTAGTAGATGAAAGAAAATTTATACTTGACTTTTAGTACAGTATTTAACACTGTATTCTATACAATAGGAAAATCTACAAAAATTGTGATGTGTAACACAATATGTTTCCAAAGTGGCCTTGAAAAAAAATAACACCTCTATTCAGGTTACAAAAATACAGCTGAAGTATTATGAAAAATAATTTATCAATGAATCTGCTATGCATAGATTGTTGGTTTTCTCTAGTTCAAATATCACTTAGTATTTTCAGTAATGATTTTTTTTTGTGAAATTCATTTTTGGTAGTAATTTGAGTAGAGTTGCAAACACTGGCAATGATAGAGAAGTAGCTCAAAAAAACCTGAGGAGATTAGAACTATGGAAACAGATTCAACAAAATACTTCTGGCTTTATAGCAATATAACTACAATTTCACTGCCATCCCACAGACTTCAATATTAAACTTAACCACAAATCAAACCTATGGAATGGAAAAGAATAATGGAGGTGCTAACAGTAAATAATAAACTAAATCAATTTTTTAAAACAGTGTAAAAATGTTCAAGATAAAAATGGTTTTAACTGGCAGTAAAAATTCAAAGGACCACTTCATGCATCAGGCTAAAATCTGAAAATGTGCAGGAGCATTTTGAACAAGCATTCAGCTCTATTATATTTGCAGAATAACACACACCACAGACTTTTATCATGTTCCTTTCCCTAAATCCATAAATAAGAAATAGCTTCTTCACTTTATGTTGAATTATGTCCTTATCACAGACAACTTATTGACTGGACAATTATGGGATCAAAATTTAGTTTTTTGGAGAAGAGCGACAAATAGAACTAAACGAGACAGAGAACAGAAGTGCAACAAGAAGAACAAGCTCTACAAAGAAATACCTGAACAGTAAGCTTACAGTCAGAACTACAAAGCTGTGAAACAATCTTAGAAGATATATGAAAACCATATTCTTTTTCACAGTTAAAACCAAGCTGCAATGACATACTAGAAAGACTACTAATGGGAACAGCATTGAATTAACATCAGTTATTGGTAATTATAAAACAAAAATATCTATGTATATTTTTAAAATAATGCTAGTGTTAAATAAACACATATAAATATATATCCTCTTAGCAAATGAAATTATATTGTGAGAAAGCTGTACCACACATATATGGTATGGATTATTTACTCATTTAGTGCTTTAGTTTAGACATTCATCTCAAATACACCAGTATATAAAACTGCGTAGATGTGCAGTTCAGAGGTGTGATACAAAATGCCTTAAACCTATTACAGTAACTGATGAGCAGTTTTCTTCCTCTGAATAGCACCAACACTTAAATGTCTGTATCTGCCCACTGACTCTACAGAAGTTCAAGCACCCTGACAGCCCAAATCAGTGATTCTCTATTTCATGTGGGGAAGCTACATTTGAACAAACCTAAAGGTTTTGGTCTAGATCAGTCCTTTCAGAAAAGATACAGAAGACAGCATCTTATTCTGAAGTCAGATCCCTAAAAGGAAAAGAGATGCTAATTTTGTTCTTAGTAGTCTCAGGGTTAGACAATTGACTGGTTTAAGTCCCTCTCTTAAAACACAGTAAGTGTCTGAATTACTGAAGAACCTATATTTCTTAAGGGCATGATTGCACTAACGACACTGAACCTGCCAACTAACTGTTATTTGCCTCCAATAAAGACCACCTTCCAGCATCTAAACAAATCTGTTAAGAATCTGTTCTCAGTGAACTCATGGTTATATGTACTTATCTTCAAAATTTAAAACACATACAAGGCTTCATTATGAATCATCAATATATATAAATGTATATAATGATACGTTTCTGTAAATAGCATATTTTGACCATGTGGATTTTTTCATTGTGAAATTTCAGGTAGCAAACTACTTCTGGATAAAAATCACTAAAAAAGTAGAGGTTATCAGAATTTTAAGGTATTAATATAAAGATCTATGCCATCCTCTTCTATAATATTTATATTCTGACCAACGGTAACAAAGAACATTGATAGGTAAAAACCCACAAGACTGCATGAAAAATATCTGAAGAATTAAATGCAAAAGGAACAGGGCTATAGCCGTCTTTACTTCATTAGATGCCCTTACATTATGCATGCTAACAAAACATGATCCACAGACAAATTCTGCCCTCTTTTTATTTCCCATTCTCAGATTAATGAAGTAATAAGGTATGATCAGAACTTCAGAATCTTTTAAGTAGATTAAAAACAGTACAGAACTGTTAAGGTGGTGAATGGAGCAAAGGAAACTTTTGCCATTACATTGAAATAATGCTCTACAGAAAAAAAGAGTTTTTAATGACTCACTATATTTCTGTCTATTCATTATAAAAATGTAAACCATCAGAATAGGTCAGCATATCTCTACAACTGATCCCAAAAGGTGTGAATTGTTTGAAAACTCATTTTTCTTGAGAAATTACTTACTCTAAAAAGCTGGTGATGTAATCCCGACTGCAAGCTGACCAGGAGAAAGGATTGGTGTTTGCTGTAATATGAGCTGCCATTAGCTTTGCTGCTTCATGACCTTTGGTCCCACATGAATTTCCAATTCCATCATGATTCATACCAAAACTGCTCAAAAAAGTAGGAAAGAAACAGCCCATTACTTTTCCACAGCACCATATATCACTTTAAACATAATGTCACCTTTACAGCAATCACGTTGGACCTAAAAGAAAACAGTGCAGGAGAACTCCTAAGCAGAGAGTCAGTTAAGTTCTGTTTAATTTATTCAGATCTTATAATACAGCAAAATAACACAACCATCTTCCCTGCTATGGATTTGTGGAAGCATTTTATTTGTTTTCTAAAGCTTTTAAAGAAAACATAACAGTATTCTTGCAAGACAAATACAGAGCACTCAAGCCTTTATTTGGTATGGTACCTGGATATGGAATATTTATTATAGTGCAGACTCTTGGATTAGTAAAAGGATTAAGAATAGCTACTGTTGCTGTAACAATACACTATATATATATGCACAGTGCAACCAATGATAATTCAAGTAGAATATGGGTTTTGCAGTTCCTAGAACCCTCCTATATGCACATTCCCTCTCTGTATCTACTCACAGAAGGACTTGGAGCCCTCCTGCTAGACCTTTGCTTTATCAAAGAATGTCAAAACGAAGACAATTAAAAATTAGCAGAAAATAAAATAAGGAACCTCTGGATGGAACATGGCCAAAAGAGATTTTCAGGAAAGAAATTAACTTTCAAGAAAGATTATATGACCCTAGTAAAAAAATATCCTAAAGAATCCTTATTCTTATTATTAGAAAATAATCGTTATTCTTATTATTACAAAACTCGTGTTCTTAGTCCTTGATTAATTTCCATTCAATCACTTGGGGACAAAAGTTTGTTCCCTCATTTCTTATTTTTTTTAAATATTAAGCTTTGGTCAAATTTACTCCTTCTCAAAGGCTTACAAAATCAGAAGGGCAGATAGTGAGAGACCCAGAAGCTAATAATAAGACATTTAAGATAATGAGATAGAGAAGTAATACGATAATGAGACAGAGAAGTAATTAAACAATGCCAAAACTGAGATTCTGAACTCCCAGAATCATACAGAGAAGTCTGTCTTTGATATGCTAAATGGACTGACTCTGATTTCTTACTCCTCATTCAGGAAAACAAATGTATTGAGGCACTCAGTTTTCATTTTCTGTAACATTTAGGACTGATGCAAGAACATACAAAGAGTAGTAGAAAAGAAACTGACCTTTTATCAGCTGACAATACCTCTTCATACCAGATCATGCCACTTTCTTCACTGAAATCAGTGCAGTTGTGTTATATTAGTCTGAACATATTGCTCCAGAATGTGGTATAATGCCCCAAGAGTTTAATGTCACCCTGAATTTCAATACACTGAGAATTATTTCACCTCTCTTCAGATGATCATAACAACTTACAAGTGAAAGGTGTTGGCAACCATTCCTTACAAAAAAAGATCATCAGTGAATGATGGATGATACAAGATCAGGAAGGACTTCATAATCAAAAAAGCATGGCTGCCTTGCCTATCAGAGGTGTCCCTATGAAATACATATTCTGCAGCAATGCCTCCATGTGTCTGGCTCAGTTTGTGGTATCTCACAAATGCAGAAGCCATATATTGTATTATACACTGCAAAGGTCTAACTAACACCTTAGATGATTATATAGTCAAATAAAGGATGTCACTTGTTTATAAAAAATACAGCTTTAATCAACTCATCTGAGGAATGTATGTAATGCAATGAAACGTTCAGACCAGTGTTAATTCTTATGGTCTTATCAATACCTATTCATATTAAGAGAGGAAAGAATTTAGATGTCCTGTGCAACAAACTGAACCAGAATTTTACAATTAAAAATGTGCTTTATTTTCCTGTTTTCAGTGGCAATTGTTCTCTAGAATTTGGGATACTTCAAACAGAAACATTCCTTTTTCAAATGTCTCTGTACCATTTCTGAAAACAGAAAACCTTATTTTTAATAATCTCCACAAATTATTCCCTTATAGAAATGAGTTGGATGATTTTTGTATTCTGCTTATCTCTAGTTAGTGTATTCCATTTGTTAAAAAACTTACAGGCTTCAGTTCTCTGGGAAATAAAATTTTTATCTTTTGGGTGTGTGAATAAAAGAACAAACTTCATAGTTTAATAACCTTCCTTCTACCTGCTCTCTTTGTGAAAAAGACAATGTTGGTGCAAGTGGCAGTCTGATAAATGCATGATAAATGCATGTCTGTGAATGGAAGCCATAATTTCTGGTGCACATGGGAACTCAATCAATGCCTTTCCATGATCCAATGGTATGCTTTATAAATAGTCATTCTCGAAAATCATCTATCCCTTTCCAATAAGGCTTTTCTACTTGTCCTCACTTCTGAATTTAAGAGGAATGTGATCACGAGGTGCAGGTAGTTTTTTCTGATGTTTGCAGAATGGTTTTACAACTACTGTCATCATTTCCAAAGATGGTAGTGGCAGCATGCCATTACAGTTCAGTAACTTGCCCTCCTGTGGGCAGGATTGCAGATGGAAAGACATTTCTGACCAAATTACCAGTTTTATTTCCATCAGAACAAGCTGGTCATATTTGGCCATCATTACATTTAAACTAAGACCTTACAAAAGCATGTTTGCCATTGGATTGGCATGGAAAGGTAGGGAAGAAAGTAAGGAACATAAAATATTCTTTGTGGAGCCACTGTTATAATTTGCCTACCTTTTTAAATCTCACTAAACATACGCAGACTTCTTCCTTTCCTCACCTTAAAAAGCCCATCTAAAACTACCAGTATAATTTTATAAGAACAGCCAGATGGGTGAGCAGAGACTGAAATCTCCTCAGCTGACACAGAAGTTATTCTATGAAGTTATCTTTCACCTGCCATCTCAAAGAAGGATGTTTAACCTAGAAGCTCTTGCGTTTTCATGCATTGTGGCTCCTATTTCCCAAGATAGTACTTACTTTACACTAAAGAATTGTGCAAAATAGGAACACTTAAGAACTTTAAAATTATAACTGAAACTCTCCTGCAAATTATCTCTAGTTTGTATGTTTCTTAAAAAATTCTAAAGCAGCACATCCTAGTAGTCCTCACTGCCTTGTTTCACTTACTAACATCTGTAACCGAATAAATTTTTTTTCCTTTGGCAATCTGGTTTTCATTATATCTGAAAAAATTATCTGAGGAAATTATTTGTAATACACATCCAACTTACAAGTCAGCCCCCAAAATCAGAGGGGAGATAACTAGTGTCAGCTGCACTGAATAAAAGGGCAATAGATAAGCAGAGACCCTGGAGTATGCACAGAGCAAAGGATGTGAATACAAAATTCTTGTCTACCCTTTCTTTATCTTGCAAAAAAACCAGCACTGCAGGTAGTCCCTACAGTTTCATTTGGTTACTGGTATGTTTGGTAGCTCTAAACAATATTGGTTATGGCTGCCAAGACACTTATAGCTGATACATATGAAATTACAGCAGTCATTTCTGTGAGACAGCCAGAATGCTTCTGTCCTTATGTATTACCCAGACACTTCAGATCCAGATCCACAGATCCACACCAATCTGAATGCATCTCCATACTCTTCACTGAGATTTATTTTGTACTCCATGTACTTTATTAGCTCTGAAGTTACCTTAAAAGTGATATGCAGGTGAAATGCTATTTCTCAACTAATTATCTCTGCTATCCATCTGAAGTACTATTTATCTTCATATCAAACAATTTCCTAGCTTTCTTGGTGTTCGGAGGATTCAGAAAAGCACAGATTGTTTCATTTCTCTAAATACAATAGAAAATGTTAGACTTTTTTGTTTCTTATCAATTCATGAGTTATATGAATTTGACCCATTTTTTTTAAGCAGTGTCTTTTATGTTGCTCTGCCACTTAACAGTGTTAGGAAGAAGAATGCCAGAGACAGAATTGTGAGTGAGGTAAGGAAAAAAAAGTTACAGGAACACAAGCAAGAGAAATACTGTAAAGTCAAGCACTGGATCTTCTTGTCCATTGCCTGAAGGTGATTTACAGCTCAAAAAAGTACATGTCCTCATGAAAAGAATTGGCACCCAATCTTCCTAAGAAAAGTAACTTACACCTTAAGAAGTTTAATGATACTAATTATCTGTACTAGGAGATGAACACATATGCTAAGAGTGAAAGAGGCTATTTTCAAGTGAGTATTTTGACCCTAGCTCATTGCAAGTATTTCCTCCAGTGTCTCACACTGATGTAACATTTATGGAGATTGATGTAAGGTGTAGGGAGGGGTCATAAAGAGTATCAGTGTACTTTAAAGATTTCTAAAAGTAAATCTCTGCCACAGTGTGGGCATGCTTTTACAAGTATTCTTGTATTTGACAGAAGACCTAAATAATGAATCATAATTTGCTTGGAGAAACTGAGTTTATTATACTGGAGACAAAAATTTTCACACAATTTGTATTAAGCATTTTTTCACTGTATTGTACTTATTCTCATAATAGTTTAAAAAGTGCAATTTAAATATATATGTATTTCATATAGCTTAGAATGTCTATTTAGGGCCTACATTGAAAAATTAGAACTGTTAGCTTCCCTACATCTGTAAATACAGGCATGGCTTTAAATACACCTTTTCTTAGTGTCAGTAGAAAATACACAACGGAAGAAAAGGAAAACTACCATGTTTCAATATTATTCTGTTCAGCAAAAAGGGGGTGAATTTGAACATAAACTACTATTAAAGAATAGTAGATTTTTTTCCCTACAATATCAGAGCTATGAGCTACTTGGAACTAAGCACAATTTCTATGTGAACATACATGGTAATTTCATTAATTATTCTTGTGTCTACTAGAAGTGAATATCTGTCAGTTTTTAGGAAGTTATGGTAAATGTTAGAGACATTACAATCATCAGATTTTATGCTTTCTCAATAACAAAAGTAAGCACTTTTTCTTTACTCTTGTAAATATTTCCCCCACACTGTCTCTTAAAAGAGAATTCTCCCCTTTCCATGTAGCCCTCCATATAATTTTAGCCAATGTTACAAAAGTATTGGTTATATCTACATAACAGTATGT